GCCACGAGTATCTCCCAGGTGAGTCGTGTCTCCGAGTGCTTGCTGCTCCTTCCTCTTCGTCTAGATGATGTCCTGGAATCCTTCAAATCACAGCAAAGCGGCAGCTCTTCCTGGAAGGCTGTCTTTCTAAGAGCTTTAAATGAAATCTCGTGTTTTTCCTTTTGTTTCAGGTGGACAGTATAATGATTTGGTATTCCTATATGTTGCAAAATGAACACCCAGGAGGTCTAGTTAACATGAACAGTTGCCATTTTTTTCTTGTGACGATAATTTTTAAGATCAACTCTCTTAGCAACTTTCAAACATCCACTACAATATTGTCATTATTTTTTAAATTGGAGTGTAATTGCTTCACAGCGTTGTGTTAGTTTGTGTTTTACAACAGTGTGAATCAGCCACAGTGGCTCAGTCATGTCTGACTCTCTGCGACCCAATGGACTGTAGCCTCTCAGGCTCCTCCGTCCATGGGATTCTCCAGCAAGAATATGGAGTGGGCTTTGCCATTTCCTTCTCCAGGGGTCTTCCCGACCCAGGGCTCGAACCCGTGCCTCCTGCATTGCAGGGGGATCCTTTACCGTCTGAGCCACCAGGGGAGCCCAGCCACCAGCCATAAGTGCACACATCTCCCCTCCCTCCCGCTCCCCCCAGCTACCCATCTCGGTCATCACAGAGCCCCGAGCAGAGCATCCTGTGCTGTGTAGTGGCTTCCCACGAGCCACCTGTTGTACACATGGTGGTGTCAGTACAGTGTTGTTAACCCTAGTCACCAGGCTGTGCTTTGCATCGCTGGGACTTAAGTTTTTTTAATAACTGAAAGTTTGTACCTTTTGACCCCCTTCACCATTTCTCCCACCTCCCAGCCCCCACCTCTGGCAACCACCGATCTGTTCCCTGTATCTCAGTCTGGTTTTTTGGTTTTCTTTCAAATTCCACACCTAAGTGAGATCATGTGGTATTTGTTTTTTTCTCTGTCTGACTTATTTGTTCACCCAGCATCATGCCCTCAAGGTCCACGCATGTTGTCACAAATGGCGGGATTTTTCTTTTTTTTTTTTAAGTATGTTTATTTTTTTAAAAAACTGTCTATTTATTTGGCTGTGCAGGCTTTTCTCTAGTCGTGGCGAGCGGGGGCGACTCTCTAGTTGGCGTGCGTGGGCTTCTCCCTGCGGTGGCCTCTCTCATTGCAGACCGTGGGCTCTAGGGCGCCTGGGCTTCAGTAGTTGTGGCTCCCGGGTTCTAAAGCACAGGCTCAGTAGTTGGGGCCCATGGGTTTATTAGTTGCTTCGTAGCATGTGGGATCTTCCCGGACTAGAGATCAAACCCGTATCTCCTGTCTTGGCAGGTGGATCCTTTACCACCTTCTTTGCCACCAGGAAAACCCAGGACGTTTTTTCCCCCCACTTGGGAACAACCTTCTTTCCTTTTTTATTCATGTAATTATGAACAATATACTCAAGGACTTTTTTTTTTATGGCTGGATAGTATTTCCTTTCTCATGGTTCTTACAACACATTGCTGTTAACCCTTCCTGTCCTACTTAAGAAACTGACCCCTAATTACTGATTACTTTTCTGTTATCCTATGTGACCATTAGGGCCATGCATCATTTGACTTCATATGTCAGCATCTAACATGGTGCTGATACATGGTAATGTCCAGAAAATTGGTTAATAAATCAGGAAGTTAATGACTGAAAGGATTCATTCATATTTATCTTTCATTCTGTTTTCTGTTCCTATCTTCTCTTAACTTTTCTTTTGTTTCTGTTTTCCTCCACTGTGACTGAATTTCTGAAAGATAATAGAATACAAGCCTTGTGACTTTTGGCATTGTGTTCGATCTGCTGATGTTAGAAGATGGATTTTGAACGCTAGCAAACAGACGGGGACAGTTTAAACACTATGGGTGGATGTGGCAATGGGGAAGATTTTGCTGGTGTTTGTCATGAGGGTGGGTACATCAGCGAGGTTAATGTTCTTTGCTTGGGAATGAGAGGCCTCCAGACAGGTCTGCCCTATTCGGACAGCAGCACAAATAAAACAGTTTCACTTTGAGATATTGGGTAAATGACCTTTCTCCAACCTGGAGGTCTCCCGAAGGATGTCCCTCATGGAAACCAAAGATAAAAGCACTATTTAAAATCTTCCAAAGTTGGTTTAGTTCAGATAGTTTTTTTTTTTTCTAATTTATCTATTTATATACTTTTGGCTGTGCTGGGTCTTCATTGCTGCGCAGACTTGTCTCTCGTTGGGGCAAGAGGGGGCTACTCTGTAGCTGTGGCGCATGGGCTTCTCATTGAGATGCCTTCTCATTGCAGAGCCCGGGCTCGAGGCGCAGGGCACGGGCTCAGTAGCTATGGCTTACAGGCTTAGTTGCTCCGCAGCATGTGGGATCTTCCCGGACCAGGGATCAAACCCACGTCTCCTGCATTAGCAGGTGGACTCTCTCCCACTGAGCCACCAGGGAAGCCCAGTTTAGTCTATATACTTTCCATAGAGATACGGTGAAATAATAAACATCCTAATTCATCAGTCAGCAAGTCATGGGTGCTAATAAATGCTCGTCTTTCATCCCCATCCTCCTCCCCAAGCTGCCTGAGGTTCCCAGAGACCTATGTTTCCTTGAAATTCCCTCCAAATCAATGTCATGAATGGGGGACAGATGCAGACAGTAAGTGCTGATCACCAACAGGCACATCTTCTTTTCTGATGCCAGCCAGTAACTCTGTTCTTCTCTTTGGCACTTATATTTTCTTTGAGAATAAAATGAATTTGACTGCACGTCAGCTGTTGATTATGGAGAATGTTCTGTGTGAACTTCCTGAAAACCATCCAGGAAACTCATTTGCTGTCAGAGACCAGTCCACTCACCTGAAATCCTCGCCAGAGTTCCCTTTCCTAGGAACACTGTGCAGTGTTCATCTCTTCCTACCTTTCCTGGAGGAGGTGCTCCAGACCTTAGCAGCAGGGGAAGGGAACACCTGAGCAAGTATTCTGAGCAGTATGATGGCACTCCAGCATGAAGAGGAGCCAGCTGCCAGTTTATCAGCCATCAGATGCTTAGCAAAAACTCTCCAGGCCCACCCTGAACCCACTAAAGTGGCGGTAATTAATTTGGGGTACCCCAGTGAGACTATCTACTGTAATAAGTAAGTAAGTAAGTAAGTAAGTAAGTAAAGTCGCTCAGTTGTGTCCAACTCTTTGCGACCCCACCGACTGTAGCCTACCAGGCTTGTCTGTCCATGGAAATTTCTAGGCAAGATTACTGGAGTGGGTTGCCATTTCCTCCTCCAGCTGTAATAGTAAATGGATGCTAATTTACTGAAAATGTTTTGAAAAACAAAACATAAAGACAATGGGGAAAGTAACCATAGTACCTAATTTCCTTCCTTGAAAAACGAGTTATCTTTGTGGTTTTACATTTAGCTTTGTGAAATACAGTTCAGCTGAATTTTTCTTTAATACTATGTTGTGTCCTGCGGGTGTAGACTCTCCCTGTGGCTTTCCCACAGACATTACGTGTGTCCTGCGGGTGTAGACTTTCCCTGTGGCTTGCCCACAGACATTACGTGCATCCTGCAGGTGTAGACTCTGTGGCTTGCACACAGACATTACCTGTGTCCTGCAGGTGTAGACTCTCTGGCTTGCACACAGACATTATGTGCGTCCTGCAGGTGTAGACTCTCTCTGGCTTGCACACAGACATTACGTGCGTCCTGCGGGTGTAGACTCTCTCTCTGGCTTGCACACAGACATTACGTGCATCCTGCAGGTGTAGACTCTGTGGCTTGCACACAGGCATTACCTGTGTCCTGCAGGTGTAGACTCTCTGGCTTGCACACAGACATTACGTGCGTCCTGCAGGTGTAGACTCTCTCTCTGGCTTGCACACAGACATTACGTGCATCCTGCGGGTGTAGACTCTCTCTCTGGCTTGCACACAGACATTACGTGCATCCTGCAGGTGTAGACTCTGTGGCTTGCACACAGGCATTACCTGTGTCCTGCAGGTGTAGACTCTCTGGCTTGCACACAGACATTACGTGCGTCCTGCGGGTCTAGACTCTCTCTCTGGCTTGCACACAGACATTACGTGCATCCTGCAGGTGTAGACTCTGTGGCTTGCACACAGGCATTACGTGCATCCTGCAGGTGTAGACTCTGTGGCTTGCACACAGGCATTACCTGTGTCCTGCAGGTGTAGACTCTCTGGCTTGCACACAGACATTACGTGCGTCCTGCGGGTGTAGACTCTCTCTCTGGCTTGCACACAGACATTACGTGCATCCTGCAGGTGTAGACTCTGTGGCTTGCACACAGGCATTACCTGTGTCCTGCAGGTGTAGACTCTCTGGCTTGCACACAGACATTACGTGCGTCCTGCAGGTGTAGACTCTCTCTCTGGCTTGCACACAGACATTACGTGCATCCTGCAGGTGTAGACTCTGTGGCTTGCACACAGGCATTACCTGTGTCCTGCAGGTGTAGACTCTCTGGCTTGCACACAGACATTACGTGCGTCCTGCGGGTGTAGACTGTCCTTGGGCTTGCATACAGACGTTATGTTTGTCCTTTGGGTGTAGACTGTCCCTGTGGCTTGCACACAGATATTGTGTGTGTCCTGCGGGTGTAGACTTCCATGTCGTTTGCACACAGCCCGGGAACTGCAACGGTAGGAGTTGTTAGTGGAGAAGCTTCTGCCTCTCTAAGCATCTTCAAGGGAGATGGGACGGTCAGTCACCTTCAATGTTTGAAGGTTCCAAACTGTCCTCCAGGACTCCTCTTGCCTAAGAAATGGAAACAGAAACTGTTTCCTTCTCAGTCCTTACAGGCTGGTGATGGTGAGGCCGCATCCCTGGTCCACCTCCCGTAAATCTCTGCAGTCAAAAGTCCCCAAGGCCAGGACCCTTGGAGAGTCTGTCAACCGTGTGTTGTTGGCAGTGGTACATTTTGAGACATTCCAGAAGCTCTGCTTAAATCATTTTTCCTTTGTCTTTTCAGGAGCATCTAAAGGCCTTTGATGATGAAGTCAATGCTTTTTTGGACAACATGTTTGGACCTCGGGGTGAGTGAGAACTTGAGAACTCAATATGGAAGGAACACCATCTAGTTAGAGAAGAGGATGGCGCCCTTCCCAGTGTCTTGTGAACAGCCCGGCGCCTCCCCCTGAGAGACCTGCCGCCCCTCCCCCCGGGGCCCCCACCTCCCTGAGAGACCTGCCGCCCCTCCCCCCGGGGCCCCCGCCTCCCCTGAGAGACCTGCCGCCCCTCCCCCCGGGGCCCCCACCTCCCTGAGAGACCTGCCGCCCCTCCCCCCGGGGCCCCCGCCTCCCCTGAGAGACCTGCCACCCCTCCCCCCGGGGCCCCCGCCTCCCCTGAGAGACCTGCCGCCCCTCCCCCCGGGGCCCCCACCTCCCTGAGAGACCTGCCGCCCCTCCCCCCGGGGCCCCCACCTCCCCTGAGAGACCTGCCGCCCCTCCCCCCGGGGCCCCGCCTCCCCTGAGAGACCTGCCGCCCCTCCCCCCGGGGCCCCCACCTCCCCTGAGAGACCTGCCGCCCCTCCCCCCGGGGCCCCGCCTCCCCTGAGAGACCTGCCGCCCCTCCCCCGGGGCCCCCACCTCCCTGAGAGACCTGCCGCCCCTCCCCCCGGGGCCCCACCTCCCTGAGAGACCTGCCGCCCCTCCCCCCGGGGCCCCCACCTCCCTGAGAGACCTGCCGCCCCTCCCCCCGGGGCCCCCGCCTCCCCTGAGAGACCTGCCGCCCCTCCCCCCGAGGCCCCGCCTCCCCTGAGAGACCTGCCGCCCCTCCCCCGGGGCCCCGCCTCCCCTTAGAGACCTGCCGCCCCTCCCCCGGGGCCCCGCCTCCCCTTAGAGACCTGCCGCCCCTCCCCCGGGGCCCCCACCTCCCTGAGAGACCTGCCGCCCCTCCCCCGGGGCCCCGCCTCCCCTGAGAGACCTGCCGCCCCTCCCCCCGGGGCCCCCACCTCCCCTGAGAGACCTGCCGCCCCTCCCCCCGGGGCCCCCACCTCCCTGAGAGACCTGCCGCCCCTCCCCCCGGGGCCCCGCCTCCCCTGAGAGACCTGCCGCCCCTCCCCCGGGGCCCCCGCCCCGCCCCCGCCCCACAGGGCCCCACCTCCTGCCCTCCAGCCTCTCCTGGGGGCAGGAACACAGCGCAGTGCCATCTGCCTCTGGTCCTTCTGTGGCTGCCCTGGTGGCAGTCCTTTCCCTCCGAGCCTGCTTCTTCCTCTCCTCCCTTCCACCACCCGCCTCCCACCTCTCACACGCGGTGTCTCTGCCCCTTCCTGTCCGATCAACTCCCTCTAGACACGCTGGGCTTTCCCTGCTCGGAGCCAGGGTTCGGGCTCCCCAGCACCCAGCCATCCTGCGGGTCCCGGTGGTTTCTCCATCATTGCCCACTCAGACCACGCGGGGCCTCCTGAGGTGGCTGCTCTTCCTCCCGTCCTCATCGTCTGCTCAGGGGCAGCTGCAATAAGACTGCAAAAGCCTAAGCCATATTGTGCAGCCCTCTAGCTTAAACCTCATCAGGTCTTCCCTGCATCCTCAGGATAAAACCCAGCTCCTCGTGGGTCACATAGCCCTGTACCGGCCGGCCCCGGCTGTCCACTCTCCCCAAGCTCTAGACATCTTTTCCTTCCTCTGAGCATAAAATGCGTCCCTAGGCTGCTGCCCCCCAGCGCGGTCAGTTCCTTCTCATACCGTTGGGTGTCGGCTTCGCCGTCCCCTCCTCAGATAGCCTTTCCCTCACCAGGACGGCAGAGATCTGCCCTTGAAAGCAGCGAATCTTAAACCTCTCATTATGCTCTGTTTCAGCTTCTGTTTATTTCCTTCATGCACTTGATTAATAGCTCTTTCTTCCATGAGGACAGGACCCATGACTGGTATCTCCAGGGTGTCTTAACGGTCCTAGGAACCTATTAGATGCTATATGTTTTGCAAATAAATGAGGAAAGTCTCAAGAGCATGCTTGGTTTCCCTTGAGCCTTGCTGGTTCACAAGGCTGGAGAATCTACAAGTTGTCTCCTCAGCATCAGGGGTGGGAAGAGAGGGAAATGAGGAGGTGTTCCAGTTTCTCAGAATCTCTAAATGGAATCATGCAGAGACACAGGCTGTGGAAAGTATCCTGAGCGAGTGACTACTTCTGTAGTGTTAGTGAGATGATACTCTGATTGTAGAGAACTTTAAAATATATACGTCTGTGTATTCACATTATCTTCGGTCTTCGTTCTGTTTTCCGTTTTCTCCTTGTGATGACGCCGTGGGGCGGGCAGGGTGGGACACCAGCTGGTCGCAGCCTGCTTTGTAGGATGTGCCCTCTGTGGCACTGCTGCAGCAGGCAGTGTCGGGGGCATGACCCTCCAGCGGGCACGCGGGGCTCCTGGGTGGCCGGCCGGCACCTGGCGTCTCCACCAGAGAGTCAGCAGGCAGTGTCTGAGCTTTGGCATCAGTGAGGTCACCTGCAGTTACGCGGACGGGGAGCAAGTTGTACAGGATAGGATTGCAGTTGTTTGCTCAGTTTGGGTCAGTTTTATGGAAATCTCCTTTGCCGCGAGGAGACTGTGAGGCTGACAGCTGACCACTGATCGGGTGACGTCTGCAGTGGCAGGAGGTTGAGCCTTCCGGCCGGCAGGCCTCCTCCTCCCCCTGGAGGGGCGGCCGGGCTGAAGCCGTGCAGCAGGTCCCCTGGGGAACCGACAGGCGTCCCCAGGCCTTTTCCGACTGTCCCCCTGCCATGTTGGGAGCATCCAGAGAGATTGTTCTGGGCAGACCCCTGGACCCTGCCACAGAGTTCACGTCTCAGGTCCCGAAGACGATGGAGCTGTAAGTGCTCGCTCCCGTCTTTTGGTTAGAGCAGCTGTGGCCCTCCTGACAACCATGGCCTGTGTGGACAGGACTGTGACACAGATGGTGACAGCCTCGAGCACTGTATCACGTGCTTGACCTGACCTGTCGGCTGGCATGAGTTTAATGACTGTTTCCTTCGCCTCCACACTGAGCAGCTATTAGGCATGAGTGAGACTGAGTAGAAATACAAGGTAGTCTCACCTCTCAGAGTGCACACTGGCTGGACCATGAAACCAGAGCCTCTGAGACAGAAAGCGCGGAAGTCCGCCATGTGTGTTAGTTTCCAGGGCTGTCGTAGCAAAAATCCCACAGGCTGTGTGGCTTAAGACAACAGCAGTTTATTCTCTCCCTGTTCTGGAAACACGGTGTCAGCAGAGCCTTGCCTGCCCTGTGCTTCCAGGAGCGCTCTGTCCATGCCTCCCACTCAGGGCTTTCCGGTTGCCGCCCGGGAGCTCCATCGCTCCATCGCCCCTGTCTCTGCCTCCGTCTCCATGTGGCCTTCTCCTCCTGCGCCTCCCCTTCTTATCAGGACACCGGTCCCTGAGCAGGGCCCACCTCATCCAATACAGCCTCCTGTTAGCCAGTTTATGTCTGCAAAGACCCTATTTCTCAGTAAGACCGCATCTACAGAGACCAGGAGTTTGGACCTAAACACACCTTTCTGGGGGACACTGATTAACCCATAATACCATAAGCAGAGGCAGAGTGGAGTTTAGTGCAAGTTATTTAAGTGTTTTCACTCAGTTTTTCTCTATTGTAAACCAGAGATAATTCCACCTATAGGATGGATTTATCCATCACCTTGACTGGGTGTTGGCAGCAAGGGGTTTGCATATGTCCACACTCATCAGATTGTACACAGGAAAAGTGTGCAGGGTTTTCTGTATATATCAGTGACACCTCTATACAGCTGTTCAAAATAAGATCACCTTTATCATTAGATTGTTTTGAGAATTTTAAGTTAACACACATAAAAGGCTTTAGGACTGTGTGTGGCACAGAATCAGTGCTCAGCAAATGTGCATTATAATAATAGTAATAAAAGTACATACGGGCTTCCCTGGTGGCTCAGATGGTAAAGAATCTGACTGTAATGCAGTTCGATCCCTGGGTCAAGAAGACCCCCTGGAGAAGGCAACACTCTAGTATTCTTGCCTGGGAAATCCCATGAACAAAGGATCCTGGCAAGCTACAGCCCATGGGGTCGCGAAGAGCTGGACACGACTGAGCGACTAGCACAAACATTATCGCCATGATAACATGCAAACTGTAAAGTGATTGCTGTTTTGTTACACTGAGGAGCTGTAGTTATGGAAGAGCAGTGGCCCTTGATGTGGGCCTTGAAGGACACGCAGGCTTTAGATGTGGAGGTGGACATTAGGAAGTGGGACGGTGCGCAGACCTCAGGACAGATGGTTATGAGCCCCTTGTGTGAAAGGTAACATGTCAGTTGCATGAAAGCTCCCCTTGCCTTTTAGCTCTGTCACAAATGGGAGAAGTTCACAGCATCAGTGATGAGACGGAGCTCGAGAAGGCACTTGGCTCATAGAAACTGCCTGCAGCATGGGGTGTGGAGAGCCCGGGGTGGGTGGGGTGGCGGGGGGCAGAAGGGGAACTGGGGCTCTGGGGGCCAGAGGGGTCCCGGAAAGGGAGAATCCAGCTCCGACAGGTCTGTTTACAGAGATCAGAGTCAGCGTGCAGGTCTCATAACTCTGGGCCGAACCATTTTCTCTCTCTAGATAACAACAGAAAGGAGCAGAACAGAGAACAAAAATCACTTTGTGCCTCTAGTTATTTTCTAATTTCTGACTGTATTATAGTTCTATTGTGTGTGTTTTCTTTAGGTTGGTTTTTTTTTTAATAGTGAAAACTTTTATATTTGGAATTAGCCAGCTGGACTCAGTTTCAGTTCAGTTCAGTCGCCCAACTGTGTCTTGACTCTTTGCGACCCCATGGACTGCAGCATGCCAGGCTTCCCTGTCCTTCACCACCTCCCGGAGCTTGCTCAAATTCATGTCCATTGAGTCAGTGATAGCATCCAACCATCTTATCCTCTGTCATCCCCCTTCTCCTCCTGCCTGCAATCTTTCCCAGGATCAGGGTCTTTTCAAATGAGTCAGTTGTTTGCATCAGGTGGCCAAAGTATTGGAGCTTCAGCTTCAGCATGAGTCCTTCCAATGAATATTCAGGACTGACTGCCTTTAGAATTGACTGGTTGGATCTCCTTGCAGTTCAAGGGACTCTCAAGAGTCTTCTGCAACACCACAGTTCGAAAGAGTCAATTCTTTGGCGCTCAGCTTTCTTTATAGTCCAACTCTCAAGTTTAGATGATCCCAATTTTGTTGGCAGTACCCAAGCATCATAGTCAGGAGCCCGTCGAACATATGCCTTCTTCTCTCCATCAGGTCTGATCAGGGTGTTGATCTTAGCCACGGCAGGGTCATGGAGCTTCTTCACAGCCTGTTGGATTGGGCGCTTGCTGGCCTTGACATCCACAGTGAGCCCAGTGTGGTGTGGTCGTCTGTCTGCTTCACGGCTGACTTGGTGGGGAGGGGGAGCTTGATCTTGGCACAGCGGTGCAGTTTGTTTCTCTTGGGGGTGCTCTTCGAGCATGTTTGAGCTGCCTCCTGAGCCCCAGTGTTCTGGGCCGCCGGAAGGTGGGTGACGTCCGGGTCTTTGTTTGTGGCTGTGGACGCCTTTCAGCACAGCTTTCTTGGCCTCAAAGCCTTTGCTTTGGCTTCGGCTTTAGGAGGGGCAGGGGCTTCCTTCTTCACCTTCGGTGCCATCTTCGTGAAAGCTTCTTTCGGTTTTGACATGTTCACTCTCCAGAGTGAGGGACACTCGCCTCCTGGCTGTGAGTCCTCTTGGTCCACGACCAGATTTGGCTCCTTGGTTTGTTTCCTGTTCTCCATTCTGAAGCCTCAGCTCCAAGGCTCGTTCGAGGCTGTCGCCCCCGCCCTCCTGTAATCCCACTGCCCCGTTTGGACCGGCTGAACTATAACCACCGCAGGTTTCCATACAGTGGTCCTAAGCTGATTCCAGGGGGTGCGGGTGTCAGGAGCTGGGGTGCATGTGCTCTGTCCCGCCTCCCAGAGCTGCTCCGCGGAGGCAGCAGCAGGGTGCAGGGACCCAGGGGCTGGGTGTGGATTCACGTCCTGAGTCAGCCGCTAACTGCGCAGTGGCCTCCTGCAGGGGCTGGCGCTCTCTGAGCCGGGTGTATGGGATGGCGCGTATATATGCTGGCTCCTTACTGAGAGCGCACACAGACGCTGCCGGTTAGACATCCGAGAGCTGTTACTCCCCACCCCTCTCACTTGTCAGTCTCACTAGTGTTCGGCCTCAGCCCTGTTCGCTGCGTGGAAGCTTGCCTAGCCACTTCAGCCCCGCTGGCCGCTTCTCCCGCGTGGGGCCGGAGCGCTGCGTGCTGGCGCCGCGGCCCACGGTCGCCGCGTGCCTGTGCGGCACAGCGCCCCCACTGAGCGCGGCGCCCCCACTGAGCGCGGCCCGCGGGCCTGTGCGGCACGGCGCCCCCACTGAGCGCGGCGCCCCCACTGAGCGCGGCGCCCCCACTGAGCGCGGCGCCCCCACGCGTGCCTGTGCGGCACAGCGCCCGCGGGGCGGCGCCCCCACTGAGCGCGGCGCCCCCACTGAGCGCGGGCCGCGTGCCTGTGCGGCACGGCGCCCCCACTGAGCGCGGCGCCCCCACTGAGCGCGGCGCCCCCACGCGTGCCTGTGCGGCACAGCGCCCCCACTGAGCGCGGCGCCCCCACGCGTGCCTGTGCGGCACGGCGCCCCCACTGAGCGCGGCGCCCCCACTGAGCGCGGCGCCCCCACTGAGCGCGGCCCGCGGGCCTCACGGCGCGTCTCTTTCCAGATGCGCGCGTCAGAGGGTGGCCCATGCTGGACTCGTACCTCCCCACCTTCTCCCTCACGGCCCTCTACCTGCTGCTGGTGTGGCTGGGCAGCAGGTGCATGAGGGGCAGGCCTGCCCTCTCCCTCAGGGGCGTCCTCACCGCCTACAACCTCGGCATCACCCTTCTCTCCGCGTACATGCTGGCAGAGGTAAGTGTCCACGGGGCGGTTGCGTCTGGCGTGCCAGAGCTGTCCACGGTTTCCTGTCGGTGCTGCTCTTTAATGTCTCAAGAAGCTGTTCCACGTCTGATATTATTCCTTCCAAATGGGTGGAACTCTTTCTTTCTAACGTGAATTTTCTTATTATAGTTTAGACCCATTTCCTTAGTCCTTAGTCTTTATTGTAATTTAAAGTCACAATTTAGATCTCAGCGGGCTTAAAGATCATGTATGATTGTTTCTCCTTTTATAGCTTATGATACTGAGGCTTAGAAAAGTTAATCTGGTTTGCCTGAGGATGGACAGCTATTGAATAACAGTATTTTTTAAAATTAAACGTCAAATACAGTTAGTTTGACTGAAATGCAAACGTAAGATCCCTTAAAGGATGCTCCTGGCATCTCTGGGCCACTGTGTGTCCTGAGGACCAACTCCCGGAGGCCTGGGGTGACATCCCAGCTTGGCTATAGTTGCCCGCATTGCATCATGTCTTCCCTATTCCTTTATAATCTGCCAAACCTGAGTAATTTCACAAGAAAAAGAACAAATAATGATGGCCCTGCCTATACAACCAAAGTTTATTTACTGTAATACAAGAGAAAAATCTTGAAGTGTTAAATAAACCGAGAGAGAGAGAGAACTAAAACATAACAGAATCTTTTTGGAGAAAAATTAGGATAAAATCATTCATATATATTATAAATGGCTAATAGTGGCACACATATAGCTGCCTTCCTGGGGTCCTTGGATTGTTAATGAAAATAAATTCTTGTCTAAAACATAGGCTCTCTCACCCATAGAGTTTTTAATCTGTGTTTAATTAGTCTAATATGCAGCATCCTAGTAATGGTTAATAACCATCATCTAAAATGCCTGTTCTGAAATGCTAATTATGGGATAGGAGGCATCAGAGTGCAGGTGGCAGAACTTGGGATCAGGAAGGCCATCCTGACAGCTCTAAAATCACACCACCTGAGTCTAAAAGGGGAACTTTTATTTTAGTTTCCCTCCTGGGTCAATTTTAGTTCACTGGATGAGCTTGCGAGAGAGTCATTTACGGGCTTATTCGTCCCTGTGCAGCAGGGAGAAGCACTCTTCCGGGGGCCGGTCTCGGCGGCCGTGCGTCTGCAGGGCCCGCCTGGCGGGCGGGCTCGGTCGGAGGTGCGCCCCGCTGGAGGCGGTGGAGGCGGGAGGCCCGCGTGCGGCGGCGGCTCTCCACGTCCTCGGCGCTGGGGGACGCACTCAGCAGCTTAGCTGTAAGACGGCGGCGCGGCGTCCGGCCTGCCTCACTGCCTCGTGAGCGTCAGGACGTCAGTTCTGTTGGGCCGGCACTCAGCGAGCACCCGCTCCCTGCGGCCCAGGGGCCACAGCCTCGGTCAGAGGTGGTTTCCGTTCTCGGAGAGCTCACAGACGCCCAAGTGCGGGAGGTGGTCAGCCCTGTGGGTCAGGAGAAGCCCACAGCACGGCCCCGGCAGGAACGAGAGCGACAGGTCAGTGCTTGAGCCGGCACGCGCATGTAGGGGGTTTGTCTCTTTTAGGGAGAGACCCCCGCACAGAGCTCGTTCTCCACTGTGAGCTTCAGCTCCCACTTTTCTCCTGTTTCTCAGACTTCCATCTCTCAGTTCAGAATCACTGCTGGTGGCTGGGTGCCTCCTAGTCTGACCGTAACCTCTTTCCGGGCTTAAGGTCTCCCCCCTTACACTACGGGCTGTGTCTGTAGACTAGTCAAGGGGTAGCTTACCTTAACCTTGCTAACCTGTTACACCCAGGCCAGACGTGTGCGTAGGCCAGGAAGCTGCCCTGAAACCACTAACATTGTTCCAGCAGACACACGCTGCAGGCCCTGCGCGGTGTCCGGCCGAGTCCCAGGCTCTGGAGCTCAGCCTTGGCCCAAGTGCAAGAGGGAGCACTGGGCCAGGCGGGGTTGGGGAGGCCTCTCTGAGGAGGCAGTGGCTGAGCTGCGCCCGGTGATGCGAGCAGGCCAGGCAGGTAAAGATCTGGGGAGGCCTCGAGGCTGCAGCAGGCTCAGGGTGGTGTTCGAGAACCACGAGAAGCAGCAGCGTACCCAGGAGCCTGGACGGAGGACGGGTGATGCGAGACGAGGTGGGTGGGGGCAGGTCACTGAGGGCCCTGTCAGGAGCTTGGCTGTTCTTAGGAGGAGCCATTGGAGGAGTGATGGGATCTTGGACTGAGCGAGTTGGGGCAAGCATGGAGGCAGAGGGTCTGCTTGGGAGACTTGATGGTGCTACAGTCACAGACCCCAGTGGCGTGGACTCAGGCAGTGGGGATGCGGAGTGGATTCTAGTCATATTCTGGAGCGAGGTGGCCCACACCTCCTTAAGGCTGACAGCCCTGTTGGAAAGCCTGGTTTCCTCTTCAACACGCAGGTTGGGTGCTTCCTGCAAGCCAGCGCGCCCAGGGCATCAGGAGGGGTCTGGGGTGAGGCGCTCTGAGCCTCCCCAGCCTGGCTGCTTGCTCTGCCATGCAGTCTGTCTGGTTCTGCAGTCTGCAGTCATGCAGTCTGCAGATGGCTCTGCAGAGGCGTGGTGGGGAGGGGACAGCCTGGGTACAGCTGACCAGGCAGAGCATGGCCTGTTCTTTCCTGCTGTAGCGTTGCTGTTACGTAAACACGGTAGGTGGTAGAGCCCTAAGCTGCAGGACCACAGCCTGACCATGGAGGTTTTTAATTAATCTTTCTGAACAAAGTTAAGTAACTTTATTTTGAAAAAGGCAGAAAAGATTTACATACACTTCTAGATATTCCTGGATTCCCTGGGGCCTCCCACCGGTTCCCATTTGAGAACCAGCATGGACAGCTCTGGGGACCTGGAGGTGACTTGATCTGTAATAGACCCACCAGGAAGGTTCAGTCTCTCTCACTTTCCCTGGATTCACTTATCCTGATAATCTTTACTTATCACGATGTTAACTGGGGTGATTTTGTTAGAAGAGCAGCAGATGAGGATATGGAAGACTCAACGAAGGTTCTGAAACATTCTCAGTGTTCGAGTTTCTCTCTCTTTCTTGCTGTTCAGTTCATTAACATCCCTCCCTCCCTGCTCTGTCTGTCCTGACAGTAGGTACATTTACACCTTTTTGATAAGCTACAGAAAATTACAGGCTTTCACATATAATATCATACATTAATCAAAGCCAAAGACCTTATAGTCTTGAATTTTAAGTTTCTTAGTAACAGTGGGAAAGAAGGCAGAAAACTTTTATAGAATTTCCCACAAAGAAAGTTCATTTCCTTCAGCTGTCGAAGGAACACTAGACAAGGAATTAGCAGACCTGAATCCAGTTGTCATTCTACTTTATAGTCGTGTGATCACAAGCAAATAGTCATTGAGAACTTTCTCTGTGCCAGGCATTGGACAAGCAATTGTAGATGCAAAAGTGAGCAAAGGGAGGAGGCATAGACTTTATGAAGCTTTCTTTTTTGAGCATAATGCGGAAAACAGATGTATATCAGTTATAATCGCACAAATGACTGATTACTACATAGCATAAATAAATGAAGAAAATGATTTAAGAATGTTTCTGAGCCCCGGTTTTCTCATGGAAAATGGTAATAAATACATAATTAATAAGATTTGGATGATCAAATGACAAATATTTATATGTAAGCCAATAAAGTACTAAAATTTTAGTGTAGTTTCTTCACATTTGTTTACATTTAATTCTATATTTTATTTGTAGAGCATATGATTAGATAATTGCTTACGAAAAATATTTTGTACTCATATGATAGCTAAATTCTGTTTTTGGTGGCTGTGAAGGTTAGAAGTAAATCCTATGTTAACCAAGGATTTTAACCACTGATACCAGTTCAGCAGCAAGAAATTAGGTCCTTGGATAATGTGTGTTTGGGAACAGGATTGAGTAAAGCTCAAACTGGGAAGAACTCAAACCTTGAATAGATGCCAAACAGAAACATGAATAGGAAGTTGAGTTTTCGTCCAAATTCTTGCACTGATTTTTTCCTCTCCTTTGTTTCTTTGGCAGCTTATTCTGTCCAGTTGGGAAGGAGGCTACAACCTACAGTGTCAGGATCTGACCAGTGCAGGGGAGGCCGACATCCGGGTGAGTCAGCTGTTTGTAACCATTTCTCACTGAAAAAGAGAGAAAGCTGTTTGTAACCATTTCTCACTGAAAAAGAGAGAAAGCTTTCTCCTCCCAGAGAGGAGGATGGAGCCTGCGCTTAGATAAAAAGGGGTCTCCCTCCTAGTAGAAGTGCTCACTTGGGGGTCAGACTGAACGAACTGCGGCACATCCACGCAGTGGATCCCTTTGCAAAGTGAAATGAGGATGACCTGTCCTGATACAGAATCATCTCCAGGATGGAGCTCAGTGAAAACAGCAACCCACAGACTGTGCTTATAGCACAGGGCCTCATGTGCAGGAAATGAGAGGAATATGCGTGTCTTAGCTTTTAGTTTATTCTGCCATTGTTTCTTTTTAAAACCATAAGCAAAAAAAATAAATAAATAAATAAAACCATAAGCAAACACGATGGTTTCCTTTTGGTGGGGGGCCCAGGGCAGAATAGATAGAGGTGGAAATTGGACTTCTCTGAATGTCCCGTGTCTAATTTTCAGAAACCGTAGGTGTTTTCACATAATTATAAAGCAAATTAAAAAAGAATGCAAGGCAGCCTCTCACTCCACATCTTGGAAATAAAAAATAATTACCCATATATTAAGTTGCTGACATAACCACCCAAGGAATTATTTCATGTGCCTTTAAACAGTGTTTTGACTGCACACCCTGAGCGAGATGACCTCAGTAGCATTCAGTAATTTGGAAGGGGTGGGGGGCGCTGCTCTTATTAATAAAAATATTGGTATTGCTTTTTGTGGGACTGTTACAGGTATGCTTCAGATAAAGTACATAATAATGTTAATATCATTACAACTAATATTCAAAACATAGAAAAGAGAAACCAAGACTCAGTAATCATAGATTTAAATCGGAAATATAAAAATGAACGTTATTCTTTCTAAAACGTGCTTTTTAGCTCTGTTCACAGGAAAGGTCTAGTTAGTCTCTGAGAAACCAGCAGTGATACCCAGATCATGCTCTCTAAATATAGTCCACCAGGAGGGTTTAGTGTTCTTAGAGAGTTGACCGATTCCTGTTCGGTGGAGGGGAATACATATATGAGAAGAATCCAGGACATCATGTAACAGAGCCAGGAAGCTGGGGTCATGACAAGATGTAAGGGCCAGCTTAAAGGGACCCCCACGGCTGAAGTGGGACAGTGTGAGTATCAGAAGGAATACTGACACATTAAATTTATAAAAACTAAGAGAGTTTAAAATGACACTAAAAAAACCCTCTTTGTTACCTTTTGAAGGTTACTAGGACACCAAGTAATTCTAGGAAAAAAAAAATTGAAAAGAATCAAACATCTATTCTGCCATTCATATGTAAGTTTCCAAATAGCTAAAGAGGAAGAGGTTCCCTGGTGGTTCAGACAATAAAGAACCTGCCTGCAATGCAGGAGACCCAGGTTCGCTCCCCTGGGTCAGGAAGATCCCCTGGAGAAGGGCATGGCAACCCACTCCAGTATTCTTGCCTGGGAAACCCCATGGACAGAGGAGCCTGGAGGGCTATGGTCTATGGGGTCACAGAGTTGGACACGACTGAGTGACTAACAACATCTCCCCTGCTATGTAAGTTTCCAAATAGCTAAAGAGGAAGAGCTATTTCTAAAAAGACAAAAACATGCACATAAGTATAAAGAGAATTTGAAAAGCAACATTTTGCAGCTTCTAGTGAAGGGTAATGGGTCCAGACAGCAGCATCTGTAAATGATGAAACTACTGCATGAAAGTTGAGTGGAAGCGTCACGATGATGAGATCAGGCTGTTAAAACCTGAACTCTGCTGATTTTAGTGTCAGTGGGACAACCAGAAGTTGGGTACCTCTTGATGTGATTCCATAGGAAGTACACAGACCCACGCCTGAAGTGCAGTTGACCACTAAACCACGTGGGTTTGAATCACACGGGTCCACTTAATACACAGGCTCTTTTCAGTACTAAAGTGCTGTAAGCCGACCCGGAGGAACCACGCTATAAGGGGCTGGCTGTAAGTTATACACAGACTCTGGACTGTGCAGGGGTCAGTGCCGTGACCATCACTGCCCCATTGCTCAAGGGTCAACTGTAATCTTACCCCCAACCTTAAACCTGAATCCAGCGAAGCCTCTGTCATTGCTCTTTACTGAAAATGTGGAGGATAGAGAAATAAGTTTAAACAACATTAGGAAAAATAAGCCACCCAAATCCATACTATTAGGAATTCTATACAACTGATGGAGTTTAAGAAATAGAAGGAAAGAAAACAGTGGAGCAGAGAAGGGGAACAGACTTTTTGATCCCCCCCCGCCCCAGTATTTTGGAAAGATACAATAATTCCTTTCCCTCGACGGGGCTGGATTGCTGGGAATAAGGAACAGCTGGCAGCAGACAGGCCTGGTGAGGTGGCTCTTGCGGGTTTGGGAGCTGGGCGGCTGAGCCGGGGAAGTGTGGCCCGGCGCCCGCAGGGGCTGGCGGCCCCGGGCGGCGTCACGGCTCACCCTGTCTCCGTCCCGTTTGGCCTCTCACACAGGTAGCCAGGGTGTTGTGGTGGTACTACTTCTCCAAATTAATAGAGTTCCTGGACACAGTTTTCTTTGTGTTGCGGAAAAAAACCAGCCAGATCACCTTTCTTCACGTCTACCATCACGCCTCCATGTTTAACATCTGGTGGTGCGTCCTGAACTGGATACCTTGTGGGCAAAGTAAGTATGCATTTGTCAGTTCTGTGTAACGGGTCTCCTGCGCGTCACACGGGGAAGCACACGTTTGCTGGTGGCCGTTTTGTTTCTCATCTTTGATCCTGGCAAAGTCTGAGTATTAGGATAAATTTTAAAAGTGTTTTCTCTTCCATGCACCATACATCTGATGGCAGAAGCATGTGCCCCTGCTGGAGCAGGTCACCCCACTCTCTGGGGCGGTAGAAACACAGCACCTTCCAGTCACGACCACTTGGCTGTGGTGCAGATTGAGTCATTTCAGTTTCGGGGGCTTGTTTATCCATTCTGAAAAATTAAAATCACGTCTCTCTGACCCACCAGAGCAGTGGCTTTCAATTTTTTTTTTTTAACTGAGACATCAATAAGTATTACATTATATCACAACCCAGGGCACTCATATTGAATGAAACAAATTTCGTGAAACAGTATTTAGCCTGGCTCTGTGTGATTCACTTGTTGTGTGTGTGTGTGTGTGTGTGCGCGTGTGATTCACTTTAAAAAAAAATTGACCTCACTTTTTCAAAAAGTTAATAACTCTCACTGCACTGACTTTCACAGTTGATGTGTCAGTTCTGACCTGCAGTTTGAGAAACACAGCACTCAAGAGAGAACAGTACTTTTCTATTGGTTATTTATTGTTTTATACCCAAGAATTCAAAAGTATTCCACGAAAAATCAGGTAAAACTCAGGTCAGAATGATTTTGTCCTAGGATATAGGAACTTGTAGAGATGGTATTAAAAAAAAACAAACCAGGGGTATCTGCAGTACACTGATTATGAAGATGTAAATTTAAACTCCAGTGTGAAGTAAACTTGCTGGAGGTGCAGTGGAGAGAAGAGACCCTTTTCCACCTCTCCTAGACTGACATACTCTGGTTTGAGTTTAGTTACTAAGAATATAGTTGACTGATAATGTAATCAATATGTAGACTAAAATCAATACCAAAGGACACTTGTCCAGGCTAAGTACTTTTTGTGATTATCAAGTTTCATTTATAAATCACTAAAGCATCTAAAAGTCGATCTAAAATAACCACTGTGTAAAGACATTGTATTTCATTCACAGGAATTCTATGTGTGTGATGGGTTTCTGTTCAATCTAGAATACTATGAAAATTATAAGCAGCAACTGCTTTTTTAAATTAATTGATGGAAATGAAAACTCAGGTTGGTAAAAAAAAAAAGTCACTAATATGTGCTGCCTGGTACTCTGAAACTATATTTGTGCTTTCATATAAATGCAGTGCCCTGACAAGTTATTCAAGCCAGTGTATAAGGACTTGTTAGATTCCTGGTGTTGCTCCTCTTGTCATATTCACTGATTTGCATTGATCTATCCAGATTGCTAATCCAGGACTGGGAAACCAGGCAGGAGAATTTAAATTAATTAACCCACATATGCACAGTGCCTTTTAGTTTATATAGTATCATCGTATTTAACCTCATCACAGCCTTAAGCAGTAATTACATATCAATTTTCCAGATGAGAAACAAAATTTACAAAGGAATATATGCAAGAGGACAGAGCTATTTAGGTGGTCCTCCAGCTGCACAGCCCGTGTCCTCTCCCTGGGGTTGGCAGCTCACAGACCAGCCGCCTGGATCCCAGACCGACCCGTAGCGCTTACCTTGTGCTGCATCCCATCCGGAGCCCTTCATGTACCCCGGCGTTGTTCCCACACCCTGCTGCCAGCTCCTCAGCTTGTGCAGTTCCTCACCTCTTGCAGCTCAATCCTTTGACCCTTAGTTGACCCAACATAGAACTTAGCCCTTGCTCCTTGGTTTCCTGAAACACGACTCACCCACGTGGATGACAGCACCTGTCATGGAGGGGACGGCAGGGGACAGGGGTGGGGGGTGCCCCGGCACAGCTCAGCACAGCAGATACGCAAAGGTGTTAGACACTCCTTGTCCCAGAGGTCCAGGAGGCTTCCCGGCCACTGGGAAGGTCCCCAGCCCGCCTCAGCCTCTTCTCATTCTGCAGGACCTTCCCCGATTCACCTTCTGCAGCATCTCCTGGTTCTAGGTCCCTTCCAGGGAGGTTCCATTGACCTAACTATGAAGGGCAGTACATTTTCCCTGACTCTCGAGCACCCTGTTCAGCCATGTACGAGGCTACAATCGTACAATCTGTCTACAATCCAAATGGCTGGAAGGTTTAGCGAAAGCAAACACAGGTCCTCTCTCAAATTCTGCCTCCTGGTTAGATGGTAGTCATGACAGAGACAGCATACCCCTGGCAAAAAGGGGAGTGACCTGTTTGGTTTTCAGAGTCCCAGCCGGTCCCCGGTGAGTCCCTCCCCCTAGGTGTCTGGCTGAACCCTGCAGTAATGGCCCAGGAGTCGGGGTGAGCTCTGTTAGCGCCGTGTTGTTTGTCCTCAGTTGACGTGCAGGAGCAGCAGGACTTGACGGGGAGCGGACATCCCGCCTTCAGAAGAGTGGTAACGCTCCCTGTGCTCTCCTAGGTTTCTTTGGCCCGACCCTAAACAGCTTCATCCACGTCCTCATGTACTCCTACTACGGGCTGTCCGTCTTCCCGTCCATGCACAAGCACCTCTGGTGGAAGAAGTACCTGACGCAGGCCCAGCTGGTACGTGCGCCGCGGCCACGGGCTCGGTCCCAGCCCTGGAGGCCGGAGGCTTCGCGGTGGGGGATGAGGCTTTCGGTCTCTCTAGAAACGGGCTTGTAAGAGTGAAACCCTGTTCAAGTGTCCTTCGTGTATGGAATGCGCCCTGTGCATACGGACCACGCAGCTAGCTCCCTCCTTTCTGTGAACTGTAGATGGATACTTTCGAAGTTATTGTCTGCTGAAGCGTTTCTAGCTAAATGGCCTGATCTGAGATGTTTCCCAGAGAAAATTAATGATGGCCAATTTTGCACACTTCCTAACTTCCGACAAAATTCCCCGAGAGGAGAGCGGGCCCCTCGGGCGCTTTGGGGTCTGTGTGGCCCCGGGAGCCGGCTGGCAGCTGCCCGAGCGCAGAGCGGTCCGCCCTTGCCGCCCACAGGTGCAGTTCCTGCTCACCATCACCCACACCATGAGCGCCGTGGTCAGACCCTGCGGCTTCCCCTTCGGCTGCCTCATCTTCCAGTCTTCTTACATGATGACGCTGGTCATCCTCTTCTTAAACTTCTACATTCAGGTATGTTTAAACGCAAACAGTCAACAGCAAAACATGAGACTGAGCGCCTCTGCGTCACGGTTTTAGTCTCACCAGTTAAACGTTAGGGAGTGCAGGCTGTTGATCAGTTCCGGTAACAGAGGTGCAACCTGCATTCCTGACTCACCGCCCTGCAGCTCCTGCACAGGGAAACCACCCCTGCTACTGGTCTGGCAGGCATTCTGCCAAACGTTTTTCAGTGCATGCCTGTGAAGCTTTATCAAAAATACTATGCATTTGAATCTTGTATTTGCACCAGGCTGCCAAAGTCTGACCTCTGAAAGTTAAACACTGTATAGTAACACAGATCCAGGAAATCTCTATGAATGGAGGAAAACATGGACTAAATAAACCTAACAGTGAAAACCTGTTTCCATTAGCTGCTGCAAGGTTGTAGACTTACTGTTTATTTGAAAACATTCTTTTGAGGTGAATCAGGATGAGAAGGTCACGTTGACTTTTCCTTAAGTGTCATTTTCTTTTTAACAATTTAAGTGGAAGGGATTTTCAAAATGCAATTTCAGAGCAACTCTGTTCTAGAAGAACTGGTGACAGTGGTAACAGCACAGGCCTCGGGTGGTGTTCGATTTTAAACTGCTTTCCTCTGTGGGCTGCGGAAATAGAAAGCGTCATAAGAAAAATGAGAATATACAATTTATCCAAAACAGTTCTTCTGAAATTGTATTGACTGTATTTTCTCCTACAAACAAGTGCTCACTGACTTTAGTTTGGGTTGACTTTGAGCAATTGCATGGCGGTTTTATACAGAATACAGCTGTGGGAACAGAACTTCTGATAGCTTTTCAGCTCTTGTGTTTTGGAATTGGACTGGCAAGGCTTTGTCTTCTGTGAGATAAAAGTTTCCTTTCAGAATTTCTAAAGAAGCAACCATTGATAGAATCAAACAAAGCCACCCCTCTCCTAAAAAAAAAAAAAGAAAGAAAGAAATATGATGAATGTTGCTGGCAGAGTCAGGGAATGCTGTTGGTGTTGAAACTTGAAGGAATCCATAGTCCAGCGTGGGGAGCAACGGTGCTCAAAGCTGCAATCAAGGTCAATCCTGACCCTAAGTTGATACTATCGCCTTTTAAAAAAAAAGTGAGATCATATATTTTGTCTGAATAGGAAGGCTGTGCCAAGACACAAATCAAGCCAAAATCTCAGGTACCAGTACTTTTGAAATAACAGCACTTTTTCACTTGAATTGTAATTTTTAAAAAATTTATATCCTTAAGTAAGTCATAATGCATACTTGAAAGTTGCTAAGAGACTAGATCTTAAAAGTTCTCATCACAAGAAAAAAATTCTTGTGGGATGGTAAATATGGTAAATCCTATATGTGGGATGCTAAGTTACACAGTGTGACCATTTAACAAGCACTATCATTTACAATCATTAAATCATGTTATATACCTGAACTAATGCACTGAATTTCACTTATACCTTGATTTTTTTAAAAGACTTCAAAAAAAAATCATTCCCTCCATGTAAGCAATTAATGCAGAATTTGAATGCTAATCCCATAAAATAATATATTAATACTAACCTGATGTGGGTAAAGTGAGACAGCTTTTCATTGGAATTCATGCATTTGTCTTGTTTTTAATCAGAAGCTTAACAACCGTCATTTAACAAATAAGCATTCTTACTAGAAAGTTCAGCACCAATGAAATCATGCATTGTTTTAGACCCTAAGTCTCATTACAGACAAGGTTCTATTAAAGAATCCCTTTCTCTTTTTCTCTTCAACATGTACACATCCCAACAGACATACCGGAAAAAGCCAATGAAGAAAGCCATGGAAGAGGCAGGGAAAGAAGTCAAGAATGGTTTTTCCAAAGCCTACTTCAGTGCGGTGAACGGAGTGATGAGCAAGAAGGCACAATAAGGGTCGCGTCTCAAAGACAAAGCATATATAATAGCCTAACAGATCCGCTTGTTTTAAAGCAAAGACTGAATTGAAAGTTATATATGTTTTAGCATAAACTAATTTCTTTTGAGTTTATAAATCATTTGTACCCGGAACATATTAATATATTGCTGTTGGGTCGATCTGTTAACTGAATGCTTTCATCAGCAGTGAGGCGAGAGCTCTGCAGAACTCAGACCTGGTGCTCCTTCCCGGCTCTCCCCGCCGACCTAGCCCCCCGCTGACCTAGCCCCCAGCCCGGACGCGGCCCCCACCACGCCTTACGCACCTGCAGAGCCAGGACACAGGGACCACTGCTTCTCACAGCAAGTCTGCAAATAAGTTAGTTTTGTTCAGATTAAAATGTTTAAAACAAAATGTTATTATCTTCTAAACACAGGGTATGCTCTCATCTCTATTCAGCAATAATTGTCAGTACACAATCAGTCCATTTGTTCCTTTAGGAATCAACCCCAGAAAATATTAAAATGGTCACATAGATGGAAAACCCAGCAACAACTTTTCTCTCTCAAGTCTGTCCCCAGAATCTCAAATTCCCACAATTACTCCTAATTCTTAAATTAGTGACATGGTAATAGTTTTTTATTCCTTTTTCTTTATTTTGAAGAAAAATCTTCTCCCAAACCCTCATAGCGCAGGGGCTCTGGATAGGCCTAGTTCTTCTGTTTTAACTGGGTTTCCTTAGTTATTCATGTATTCACATCTACATCCTATGTTAAGGTACCCTGGGTTAGGGTAACAGACAGTGCTCAGTTTTAAAAGTAGGATCCGAATTTGGCTGCCTGTCTCCTCTCTGAACAAGTCTGTATCACTGGGCCGTCAGGATGATCTGTCACTGGACTATCTTTAAGTTAGAATTAATAAGGGCATCGAGGGCAAAATAGATACTGACCCTGTTAACGATTTCTTATGAGCCTACCTTCGAGTATTATCCCCACACAGCCACTGTTTGTCTTTACAGGTTAGGTTTTTGAAAACGGGGAGAGGGAGAGGGCTGTGGAACGGTCCCAGCCCTGCCCGCAGTAAAAAGCGCTGATTGGCAAACCCAGCACAGCCTCGGCCTGCTGGGGTCGCCCACGCCCGCAGCGGAGGATGCGGACAGGGGAAGGCACGAGGGGCCACTCCTCCTCCCCACGGGCAGGACGGCCATCTGCCATTCAACTGTCCCAAGAATGGAAATGGCATTTTCTGAAGATCTGAGACAGATTTACACCCTGTAAAATAAGTCATACCCCGTAGAAACGAGATTTGCCCACTCTGACACTCTATCTGCTTTCCTACCTTACTTGAAGTTTTTAGGTCGTAACATCAACATCAGAGGCTTAAATGCTCCAACACATTACAGCACAAAAGGACTTTGTCCTTTGGGGACCATTTCTGTTTTCTGAGCATCCGTTTGAAAAAAAAATTTTTAATGGGAAAACAAAAACACCCTGACTTTGGTATTGACGTGTACACTGACGCTGAGCATCCTGACACTGCCAACGTCTGTTCCCTGTAAACGCCCCTCGGGGTTCCGCCGCCCTGAAAGGCGACTGACCTCACCAGCCTTCACGGCGAGGGCATCGAGCCGTCCAGCCCCTCCTCTGCCAGCGGACCCATTTCTCCAGAACAGACATCTTCCGTCTGATGCCCGCTCTCTCTTGGGTCTCTCTAGTCTCCTAAAGCTGACTTGTTCGTGGGTGCTCACCCCCCTCCTTCCATCACATCATGCCTGTATGGCTGTAAGTCCCGTGCCCTCCCAGAAACTCACTTTAAAACAAGGGCCTGCTCCCATAACAAAGTCCACAGCAGACTGGGGAGGAAGCCCCTCGGAGGAGCTAGACACTGGTGCAGTTTTAGGTCTAGGACGGGAGCTAAAATGTTATCAAAAGGCACTCACCGCAGGTAGGAAATGAGGCTCAGGAGGCAGAGGTCACGGGTCCAGCTTGCCCTGTCATCAGGCCCGGCTCCGCACTCAGCCTTGCAGCTGCGGTTCCGGATGCTCCACTGGGCTCCATCCCCGCAAGGCAAGGACAGAGGCGTCCTTCAGCCGAGGCAGACCCCCCCAGACAGCTGGAAACCGCTGATCACAGGGCAAGCTCCGTTAGTTTACGCTGTCCGGCTCGATTTGGATAGAGGCTTCAGGATGCTTATTTCCACTTGATCTGTAATCCTAGGGAAGCTTCACGAAACACTTTATAGCCTTAAACCATTCAAGGGCTGGTTAAAAAAAAAAATAGTTATGTAGTCTTAGTCACAAAAACTGAATCAGGTAACTATCTTCACCTGTTATTAAGTGTTACAATTTTAAACAAAATGCTTACTTTTAATGTGATTTTCCTAAAGCAAAGCTGTTTAAAAAAAATCTGTATAATTTCTTAGGGAAAAAAAGGGAAATGTTTTTCCCCAGAATAAATTTCTCCTCACTCACAGGAATGAAAACAGTTATATGAATATGGTGAGCATATGTTTATTCCAATTTTTCAAACAAAAGAATGTTCACTTACTGGAATTAAATACAGAAATCTCAACCCATCAAAAGTACATACCAAACTATTTAGACATATTGAGGGGAAAGTCCCCCCGACATTGGAGAAGTATTTTTAAGGCAAAAGGTTACTGTGATGGACAGAACTTCACTTCGTGTGTAAGAAACCAGTCTAGTTCTTTCCGGTATTTCCATATTATTTTATGTTTCTGGGGACTTCCTTATTTGGAAAATAAGGATAGCACTTTTTTGATTTTCCTTGGAAAACACTTATATCTTAAGAACGTAGTATCATGACCTAGGTGGCCAGGGAGGCAGGAGAAGCCATTTTTTCTTTGTAGATAAAAAGCATCTGTATGATTGTTGTATAATAAACTTGATTTTGTTGTATAATAAACTTGTTGATTTTTACACTAAAGTAAGTCATGATTCCTTTTATTTGGTTCAAAGAAGTTAAAATGTGTTCTGCATGCTATTCCAAATGACCTATTACTCAGGAATTTTTTTTTTTTTAACAACAAAGTGAAATTCTAGCAATTAATTTTGGAGGTGTAATTCATTTCAGTAAGCAGTGGGCTTTTATATAACAATGTCACCTTTATGGAGTGTTCATATACTGAGTTAAACTCTTTGAGAAAATGGTCATGCATAAGGAAAAGTTAAGCATAGACTAGCAGAGAGGATATGGTGGCAGTGGTGGTAAAGAGTCTACCTGCCAATGCAGAAGACATAAGAGATGCAGGTTCGATCCCTGGGTCAGGAAGATCCCCTGGAGAAGAGCATGGCAGCCCACTCCAGTATTCTTGCCTGGAAAATTTCATGGGCAGAGGAACCTGGCGGGCCCCAGTCATGGGTCACAAAGAGTCAGACACGACTGAAGTGACTTAGCGCACTGCACAGCAAGCAGAGGATAGAAAGGTCAGAACAAAAACAGCTACGCAGAATGACCCAGGGAAGAATGCAGGACTGGCCGGAGAGACTGGACTGGCTGGAGAGGCTAGACTGGGCACAAAGCAACGTGGGGCCATGGGCGCTCTCTGCAGACTCAGGCAGACAGGAGGCTGCTGCAGCGTGGGTCTGTGAGCCGAGACGACCACGGCGAAGCCTGAGACAGACTCAGGGTCGTGGGGCAGATCACAGGCTGGCATAGTGTCGATGCAGGAAGTAGAGGTTTAACGTGATGTTGACAGCAGAACACAGAATGGTACAAGAGAGAGCTCCAAGTCTGCGTAGGAAGTGGCTTATTCCTGGACAGTAACAAGGATGGGGCAGAATATATGGAAGAGCAGGAGATGGGGAGAGAGGCAGGTGGCCGTGGAGAGAGGAAACTTCACCTCACCTCCCCGAACGGAGGTACAGACCTCCCCATCACCTCCTGGGTTTCCTTATCTTAAACAGTGGGTGCAACCAGTTCATTAAAGCCTAGTAACTTGTTGCAAATTAAAAGCTGCTTGTACATGACAAATGTTCACCTAAATAAGTTTCAAATTTCTCAGTATAAAGAAAAATTCAATGTGTTTTTTATTATTCAGTTTATCATTACCACTGACGCTTTCTTCAAAATCAAATTATATTCACATTAAAGAAGAATTCTAAAAATAAAGGTTCTACTCCAGGGCAGGTTAAGAAAATAACAATCACTCTTACAACACCTAAACTACACTCACCTAAAATATCCCTTAACCTTTAGTAACACATGACTTTCAGTCATGGGCGGGGGGGGGAAAGCAAAAGCTATCGATTTGCAGGTCATTTTTCTGTCTTGAGAGGCAGTGCTGAGGGAACGCTGGGACGACACCAGGAGTAAATGTGAAAGTCACACCCTCACTGAGCACTTTGTAAATGTGGTCAGTTTGGCTCTTAGAAGCAGCCCCCTGGGAGCCCATTATAACCCTGTGTGTGCGCGTCCTCAGTTGCTAAGTCACGTCCAACCCTTTGCAACCCCATGGACGGCAGCCCGCCAGGCTCCTCTCTCCATGGGATTCTCCAGGCAAGAACACCGCAGTGGGTTGACATTTCCTCCTGCAGGGGATCGAACCCACGTCTCCTGCACTGGCAGGCAGCTTCTTTACTCCTGAGCCACCTGGGAAGCCCCATTACGAGCCCATCAGAAGCCAAATCCCATCTGACAGCCCAGCCAGGGTGCGGCAGGCACAGCCGCCCTCAGGCCCTGGCATGTACCTTGGCATCTGCACACACCAGTCTGACCCTGAGAAGGGGGCTGTGCTCTCGTGTGACCTGTTACCGCCACTCACCCTTCTGCACTCAGCTTGTTAACCCAGTGACGCCTGAAGGCATATGAATTTGTGACACCTGAGCCCTGAAGAACAAAAGGACAAATTCTTGCGTGCAGTTTTGCCTAGACTGAGTTCACACATTTCAAGGGAAATAAACTTCACTTTCCTGTTGACTGTGACCCTAATGATAAATATCACAAGTTGCAAATTTCTCTGAAAGATTTAGGCACTGTCCCAAAGATGGTCCGTGTACAGAGCTAGCCTTTATTTCTTAAGTCCAGTTTAATCCTATGAGCCTTGATAAACTCTGGAAATAGTCACATTCAATTGCAAAATTCATCAAATCTACCTTCCCAGTGCTGTATGTTACACTGGTGATACAGAAGTGACCCAGATGAAATATTTGCCCTTACAAGTTCACAGTCCTATAAACAGATGAAGAAACATTTACATATAAAATAATAGAAATATGGAAAACAGCTTACCAAGAAAACTTTTCCAAAGGAGACAGTATTTGGGCTTAGTTTTGATGGGTGAGGAATTTTCCAAAGAGACAGGGAGGGAACTTTGCCCCAGCAAATCCCAGAGGTTAAACACCTAGGATTCTAGCAGGACTCACCATCCTTCCACCATGATGAGGCACTTCAATGCCCTCCACGTGGCTGGCATCGTACCAGGGCTTTGGAATAAAATAGTGAAGAGATCAAACGGTCTCTGCTCAAAGAGCTCAGGTTCAGGGTGGAAGATGGAAGGTTGAAGAGGGAGGGGACATATGTATATATCTATGGCTGATTCAAGCTGATGTATGGCAGAAACCAACACAAATTGTAAAGCAATTATCCTTCAATTAAAAATAAAGAAAAAAGAGCTCACAACCAGTGAGTACCTCCTAGAGGAAAACAAGGGTTACCGCAAAACGGCAAGAACGGCTGCTGATGCTGTTCAAGGTGTCAGGATTTGGTCTCCTCCCATCACGAGGGGAACCAAAGACGAATGCTGAGACCACTGTTTGTACCTGATTCAGCTCCCAACACCACTCTGCCACTCCTGGCTCGAGAATGACCTAGACAGCTGAAAGGCCATCACCGAGTGTGAATAAATGCACTTTGGGAGTCTATTTGAAGTTTTACCTTCTTTTGCTAACAACTGCACTGTGTATTCGGGTGTAAGCTGAGAGGCAGAACCACTGGGTGAAAGCCACGTGAATCCCACAGAAGCCGACCTCATGCAGCTGCGGGAGTGAAGGAGGCGCCTCGGGAAGGCGGCTGGCAGCAGGTCTGACGTGGGCGCTCAGCGTGCATACCACAGACATTCGGGAAGGGAAATCGGACGTGGGGTGAGGAAGACGGCGAACGAGCCTGAGGTGCAGCCCACACGGACAGTCAGGGGCCTCCGACCTCGGTGATGAGGGCGACCGGCGGAAGCCAAGGCCCGTGTCCCAGAGCCCTGCACACACCTGGCCCGGGAGGAGGAGCTGACAGATGGCCGGGAAGCGGAGCGGCTGCAGGGCCAGCATGTGCCTCAGGGCCTCGGGGGAAGCCCGCAGACCGGCCACGAGGCATCTGTGCAAAGCGCGCGTGCAAAGCGGCAAGCCCAGTCCTCTGCCCACAAGCCTCCCCTGGACCCCCGCTGTGGCCACTCTCACCAGGAAGGTACAGAGACCTGAGTGTCCCTGGCCAAAGCCACCATGTCCTGTGGTGACAATCGATAATGCCCGTGCACATAGAGAAAGATCCAGCGACGCCAGCTTAGCTTACCTGAGTTCCCAGGAAGAGAGGTTTCAACCACCAGTGGCCAGTCCTCCAGATCTGAGACGGCGGCTGCTTCTCTATTATCTGCTCAGTACTAACAACCATATCATAAACGGGAGCATCAAACCATTCAAGGACCAGAAACGTAAGTGCTCAACCAAGTACAGATGGGCCTCCTCCTCAATAGATCCCAGTTCATGTGGAAAGAAGTTTCTCCAGCTTTCCTTGACCCAAGGCAAAGCTGAGTTTTGTGGGGTTTTTTTTTAATCTTAATTAGCATACTCATTTTCTAAAAGCATCAGAATGCTGAACTAACACCTATTGTCCATATGTTCTAACCATTCTGACCCCCTTCCACCTTCCTGCCACACACAGACACATTTACAGACACACACACACATACATATATTTCATTCCATAGGCTCCTGGAAAAGGTCTCAACTACACTGGATTGGAGACCTTCTGTATTAGTCAGGATTCTCCAGAGAAAGACAACCAATAGGATACAGGTATAAATATCATGATATGCAATTTATATGTGTATATAACATATACATATATATATATATAACATGTGAAAGTGAAGTTGCTCAGTCGTGTCCGACTCTTTGAGACCCCGTGGAAGGTTGCCTACCAGGCTCCGCCATCCATGGGATTTTCCAGGCAAGAATACTGGAGTGGTCTGCCATTTCCTTCTCCAGGGGATCTTCCCAACCCAGGGATTGATCCCAGGTCTCCTGCATTGCAGACAGAAGCTTTACCATCTGAGACACTATAACAGAAGCTATACCATCTGTTATATATGGGAAGCCCATATATAACATATACACATATAAATTGCATATAAAGAGAGAGAGGGAGATTATCATTCAGCAATTGGCTCCCAAAATTGTGGGAGCTGGCCAGTGTGAAATCTGCAGGGCTGGCCATCAGATGGAAACTCAGGCAGGGTTTCTAGGCAGTAATCGTGAAACAGAATCGCTTCTTTCAGCAACCTCAGTCTTGACTCTTAAGGTCTTCAACTGATTAGGCGATGCCCACCCACTTTATGGAGGGTAATCTGCTTTACTCAAAGTCTACTGATTTAAATGTTAATCACATCTTACAAAAAGAAGCTATTAAATAAGTGCTCTGATACTCTTATAGCTTACAGTATACTAAAACATAGCTCATTAAAAAATTTAAGAAAAATGACAAATTGGGGTTATAAAGGCTGCGTTAGGCATATTAAACAATAACTAAGCTATATTATATAACAATTATATAATGTATAATCTGGCGTTCAGTGTACAGGCTTTATTAACTGTAGTTATCCAAGCATGTACTTTATAGATGGGCTTAACTTATGTAGGTTTCACTTTTCTAAAATAAACCCAGTCAGCTGTATATACAACTCCACGCACCAGACTTTATTATAGAGCATTTAGTAATTATCAAAAGATGAATATTTCTCCTCTGCTAAAGCTGGAAGTTTTGTTAAAGTTCCAGAGAAACCAGAATATCTGCCAATCAACAGAAGAATAACTATTTCAAAATACAACACCATTTTCATCTGAGCTATTTTCATCCCAAAGTAAGCTCTCCCTTAAAGAGACACTGTAAGTAGTACATATATATACAGATGCTGAGGTTTCTCTTCTCCAAATAACTTGAAGACGCTTCTCAAATGAAAATCAATTTTACTTTTAAAAATAATAAAAAAAAATAGGCAACATCACTCAGTTGCTAAACATCCTGAATGTCTTATTTTCTGACCAAATTTAAATACAAAAGGTAAACCTTTGTGAACAAATGGACAAACGACCAACATATTACAGTCTACCCAGACTTGGCAGGTCTCAGGAATTCTGTTTGCTGTGAATGAGCACAGAGCACTAAGGCACTGCCTGTGTGGCCGGAGGCTGCTTTATCTCCTTCCCGTGGCTCAGGCTGGTGGAAAGGGAAGAGGAGAACAGCGGTTAGTGAAGCCTGAACGATCTCCCCTCCTAGTCCCTAGAACTCAGGGAGCCAACCTGAATGTCACTCTCTGTCATCGGCTACCTCCCTAACTCAGATATCCAGCTCCACTGGGAGCTAAGGTCACTGCACTGGAGGGAACTGCCCGGGGTCAAAATCACTCTCAAAAATCTCTTAAACATGTGCTGCTTTCAAGACGCATGTGTTGTCTCTCCACAGTCTAATGCACGATGTTATTTTTTTTTTCCTTTGTTGTTTCAGAGAAAAAACAGCTATTTCTTGGGGGGAGGATAAGATAAAGTGGCTGGTCTGGCTTTTGGGAAAATGCATGTTGTCAATAAGCAGACTGAGTCCCGTTGGAGGCTCACAAAACAAGAGGCGGGTAGGGACCAGATTCTCCCATCCTAAAGCGAACACAAGGGCGCGTGCTCATTGAGAAGAACAGACAGAATCACCTCTGTGATTTATTTCTCAATCTTCTCCTGCGTTCAGCACATACAACTTAATTCGGGCATGGCAGACATCGCTGGTTACCTATCCAACATCTATGCTCCCCTTTCTCCTTATTAACAGAACCCCACTTTGCAGGAGGACAGTAACAAGCTCAGTTTAAATCTGCAGCCCCAGATCCCCTCGTAACTAGCAAGCTTCATGTGATTCGGTTCTGGCCAATAAGAGAGAGACAAAAGTATTAGGATTCGACTTCCATGAAAACTGTTTCCCTAATTTTTAAAAAAGGAGATAGATTCTACTGGCACACGTCTTTTACCAAATCCTTCACCATCTGCCCCTCCTGCATGGAAAGCAGATGTGCTTGGAGGTAGAGCTGCGGTTCTGTGACCATGAAGTCCAAAGCCAAGGAAAGATAACAGAGCAGGAAGCGAAAAGAACCTGCGTCCCTAACTAGCATTAAAGCTGCCGTACCAGCCTTCAATGGGTTTCCCCGATGACTCAGCCCGTGAAGAATTTGCCTGCAAGTAGCAGGAGACACAGGAGATGCAGGTTTGATCCTTGGGTTGGGAAGATCACCTGGAGAAGGAAATGGCAACCCACTCCAGTATTCTTGCCCTGGAGAATCCCATGGACAGAGGAGTCTGGTGGGCTATAGTCTGTGGGGGTCTCAAAGAGTCAGACAGGACTGAGCACAGCACCAGCCTTGAACAAAATCCCTCTGGGCTACTGCTCACAGCGTTCAAACAAAACCTCTGTTTGGTTCAGCCGCCGGAGCCTGATTTCTCTTATACATGGCTGACCGTAACACATGCATTTAACTCACAGTAGATCCAGTTCCCCACGAGGGCTGGGATTCTAGTATTCTCAGCCCAGATTAGGCTTTTATCCATATCCTCTTTTAGTACTAGTTTGACTTGGAGATTTTGTTATTTTTGTTTTCCCCAAATAAAACAGTAATGTTTCCCTGATACCTAAAGTCATTCAAGATAAAGTTACAAGGCTATTCACTAAGATTTATTTGTGATAATTTAAAATAATCTGAATGCTCATCAACAGGAAATCAAATGTGAAAGTATAACAGACCCATAAGCTAGAATAGCTACAGTTATTTTAAAAATTAGCAGATCCTTATTACTGACTTGGAAAGAAATCCTACTTCTGTTACTGAGAGGGCAAAGGAAGAGCAATGCACATAAAATTTAATATCTCATTTATATTACTTAAAATATACATACTGAAACTTATCAAGACATTTGTATATATTCTTATGTAAACATAGGAACATAGCTGAGCACCGAAGAATTGATGCTTTTGAACTGTGGTGTTGGAAAAGACTCTTGAGAGTCCCTTGGACTGCAAGGAGATCAAACCAGTCCATCCTAAAGGAAATCAGTCCTGAATATTCATTGGAAGGACTGACGCTGAAGCTGAAACTCCAATACTCTGGTCACCTGATTCGAAGCACTGACTCATCTGAAAAGACCCTGATGCTGGGAACAATTGAAGGCGGGAGGAGAAGGGAACAATAGAGGATGAGATGGTTGGATGGCATCACCAACTCAATGGACGTGAGTTTGAGCAAGCTCTGGGAGTTGGTAATGGACAGGGAAGCCTGGCGTGCTGCAGTTCATGGGGTCACAAAGAGTTGGACACAACTGAGCAACTGAACTGAAACAGAAAAAAATCAAGAAGAATATATACTAAACAGTAAAGGGATAGTTCTCTCTGGATCATAAAAAGGAAGGCAGGCTAGGGAGAGAGGAAAATTCACTTACTTAATGAAATGGTATGTTGTTTGAGTTTATTACACAAGAGTCATTTATTAAAGTGGAAGTGTTAGTAGCTCAGTTGTGTCCAACTCTTTGTGACTCTATGGACTGTAGCCCGCCAGACTGCTCCATGGAATTCTCCAGGCAAAAGGACAGGAGTGGGTTGCCATTCCCTGCTCCAGGGGAATCTTCCTGACCCAGGGATCAAATCCAGGTCTCCTGCAGTGCAGGTGGACTCCTTACCATCTTAGCCACCAGGGAAGCCCAAAGTCATTTATATCTTGCACTAAATCTAAAAATACAGAACAGCCTGAGTTAGGAAAGTCAAGTCACCTAAAATGTCACCACACAGAAATAACCATGGTTGACATTTTGATGAGAATCTCCTAGAATCCAGACCTCTCACTACATATGCATACACACAAATCTTCTCATCCTCTGTAACACCACCCCCTCCTTGCATAATCCTCTCGCCCTCTTCTGCTGGCTTCCTCTCCCGTATCAAACTTCAGCACCCTGGAGCAGCCAGAGAATTCTGTCCTGGAACAACTTATCTCTGTAACTGGTTCCTAAATCAACTAATCCTGTCTCGTTGTCAGAACCTCTACTGTGAGTTTCAGTCCTGAATATCCGGTTATCCACTTGACAGCTCCCTTCAGATGCTGAAACCACAAATCTAATGTACATCTCACATCCAGCCTTTAAGATCCAGCCACACCCTTCTCCTTCTCCCTCCACCGATAAAAGCAGAACTTTCCCAGTCTACACACACACACACACACGCACGCACGCACGCACGCACACATCACTACTAGCAGTTCCCAAAGTGTTAGCCTTTGGGATGTCTAAGCTTCCAAAGATTCTGTGAGGTCAAAACTATTCTGGTAATACTGTGATGAAAACTAGCACAAATTTCCTTCCTTCATTCCTACTCTCTCTACAAACGTACAGTGGAGTTTTCCAGAGGCTACCTGATGTGTGATGTCACGAGGGATGGAATTCAGAAGCAAATATAAAAAGTCCCTTATTAAGCCAGGCTGTGTGGATCACCACAAATTGTGGAAGATTCTTCAAAAGATGGAAAACCAGACCACCTGACTTGTCTCCTGAGAAATCTGTACACAGGTCAAGAAGCAACAGTTAGAACTGGACGTGGAACAACAGACTGGTTCCAAATCGGGAAAGGAGTACGTCAAGGCTGTATATTGTCACCCTGCTTATTTAACTTCTATGCAGAGTACCTCATGAGAAATGCTGGGCTGGAAGAAGCACAAGCTGGAATCAAGATTGCTGGGAGAAATATCAATAAACCTCAGATATGCAGATGACACCAGCCTTATGAGAGAAAGAGAAGAGGAACCGAGGAGCTTCTTGATGAAAGTGAAAGAGAAGAGTGAAAAAGTTGGCTTAAAACTCAACATTCAGAAAACTAAGATCATGGCATCTGGTCCCATCACTTCATAGCAAGTAGATGGGGAACAATGGAAATAGTGACAGACTTTATTTTGGGGGGCTCCAAAATCACTGCAGATGGTGACTGCAGTTATGAAATTAAAAGATGCTTGCTCCTTGGAAGAAAAGCTATGACCAACCTAGACAGCATATTAAAAAGCAGAGACATTACTTTGCCAACAAAGGTTCATCTAGTCAAAGCTATGGTTTTTCCAGTAGTCATGTATGGATGTGAAAGTTGGACTATAAAGGAAGCTGAATGCCGAAGAATTGATGCTTTTGAACTGTGGTGTTGGAGAAGACTCTTGAGAGTCCCTTGGACTGCAAGGAGATCAAGGACTCCTTTAGGAGTCCATCCTAAAGGAAATCAGTCCTGAATATTCATTGGAAGGACTGATGCTGAAGCTCAAGCTCCAAAACTTTGGCCACCTGATGCGAAGAACTGACTCATTTGAAAAGACCCTGATGCTGGGAAGACTGAAGGCAGGAGGAGAAGGGGATGACAGAGGATGAGATGGTTGGATAGCATCACCGAGTTGACGGACATGAGTTTGAGTAAACTCCGCGAGTTGGTGATGGACAGGCAGGCCTGGTGTGCTGCAGCTTACGGGGTTGTAAAGAATCGGACACGACTGAGTGACTGAACTGATTAAGCCAGACATTAGAGAGATCTGCAAAAGCATAAAACAACACTAATCTTCTCATAGTTCTTATTTTGAGAATTCTGGTTATTTTTCATAAAAATCTGTTATTTATATCTATATGTAAACATTTATTACTGTTCTTTTAATTTTTTAAATCTACTTATTTTTAATTGAAGGAAAACTGCTTTATCATATTGTGCTGGTTTCCGCCATACAACAATAATTACTGTTCTTTTTAAATAAACACATTTCAAAAACTGTCTCAGAATATTTCCTACATGACAATAAATAAACTATTTTAAAATAAAAAAAAACTCAGTCTCAATTTTTAATGTGGAACATATTCACAGACAGAACTTACAAAGCCAAAGCTTTCTGGGGATCCTCAATAAATTTTAAAAGTGTTGAGAGGTCTTAATTCCAACCAGCTTGAGAACCATTCTTAACAACCATGGGCATTTAGTGAAGAGATTTTAAATGGATATCCACTATCACCATGTATAATGAATGGCACATGGGGTGAGATGTGTGTTTGAAAGATCTTTGAAAATATAGAGGCTATACTGTCAATATTATTCCTTATATTAACTGAGAAAACAGTAGAATGGTTAATTCAAACATTGACAGTTTTTGTTCTGGTTTGAAATACACGATATGATCAGAATAATATCCTTTTTGAAACCACATGACAGATTTCCGTGATAAAAGCTGATTCTTATATGATAGAGAAGGCTTTGGCTAGTATACATTTATATAGGGATCCCTTTTGATTTGGAAAGAAAAACACACTAGAATTCCTCCCAGGACAGAAGCACCAGAGTAAAGGACTTCACTATCCACTTGCCCACTTCCTTCCCTCTAGAAAGCGGAAACTATTCCAAATGGACAGAAGCAGCAGCCTCAGAATGGACACGGACTAACCACAGTGAGAGGAACACGCAGCAAGATAATCCCACATGTTGCTTTAAAATGTATACATACATGTTTAAAAATGGACCTTCGTGGTGGTCCAGGGGTTAAGAATCCGCCTGCCAATGCAGGGGACACAGGTTCAATCCCGGGTCCGGGAAGATCCCACATACCTCGGGGCAACTGAGTCCATGCCTCACAACTGCTGAGCCTGCACACGACAGCTATGGAAGCCCGCATGCCTAGAGCCCCTGTCTGCTGCAGGAAAGCCACTGCAGTAAGAAAGCCTGCCCACCGCAACGAAAGCAGCCTGCCCTCGCCGCAACTAGAGAAACTGGTGCAGCAACGTGGACCCAGCGCAGCCAAAAATAAACTACGTAAGTAAATAAAATTTAAAAATAAAAAAGTATACGTATACTACGTATATAAGGTGTGTAGAATATATTCTATCAAGTACACAGTTCAGTTTAACCGAAAAGCAACTGTTCACCCAGAAGCCTTGCTATTTTTCTCAGAATCTATGTTAATTTTAAAAATCTTGCTTAAAAGGTGAAAAGACAGCCCTCAGATTGGGAGAAAATAATAGCGAACGAAGCAACAGACAAAGGATTAATCTCAAAAACATACAAGCAACTCCTGCAGCTCAATTCCAGAAAAATAAATGACCCAATCAAAAAATGGGCCAAAGAACTAAACAGACATTTCTCCAAAGAAGACATACAGATGACTAACAAACACATGAAAAGATGCTCAACATCACTCAGTATCAGAGAAATGCAAATCAAAACCACAATGAGGTACCATTACACGCCAGTCAGGATGGCTGCTATCCAAAAGTCTATAAGCAATAAATGCTGGAGAGGGTGTGGAGAAAAAGGAACCCTCTTACACTGTTGGTGGGAATGCAAACTAGTACAGCCACTATGGAGAACAGTGTGGAGATTTCTTTAAAAACTGGAAATAGAACTGCCATATGACCTAGCAATCCCACTCCTGGGCATACACACCAAAGAAACCAGAACTGAAAGAGACACGTGCACCCCAATGTTCATCGCAGCACTGTTTATAATAGCCAGGACATGGAAGCAACCTAGATGCCCATCAGCAGACGAATGGATAAGGAAGCTGTGGTACATATACACCATGGAATATTACTCAGCCGTTAAAAAGAATTCATTTGAATCAGTTCTAATGAGATGGATGAAACTGGAGCCCATTATACAGAGTGAAGTAAGCCAGAAAGATAAAGAACATTACAGCATAGTAACACACATATATGGAATTTAGAAAGATGGTAACGATAACCCTATATGCAAAACAGAAAAAGAGACACAGATGTACAGAACAGACTTTTGGACTCTGTGGGAGAAGGTGAGGGTGGGATGTTTCGAGAGAACAGCATCGAAACATGTATATTACCTACAGTGAAACAGATCACCAGCCCAGGTGGGATGCATGAGACAAGTGCTCAGGCCTGGTGCACTGGGAAGACCCAGAGGAATCGGGTGGAGAGGGAGATAGGAGGGGGGATCGGGATGGGGAATACATGTAACTCCATGGCTGATTCATGTCAATGTATGACAAAACCCACTACAATACTGTAAAGTAATTAGCCTCCAACTAAGAAAAATAAACGAAAAAAAAAATCGTGCTTAAAAAGAAAACAATATGTTTCCAAAAAAAAAAAAAAAAGAAGTTTGGATGCCCTTGTTTGTGCTTTTCAAAATGTATACGTCTTGATCGATATCATAAGCCATGCTCTATGCCCAGGGAGTCCCAAGAAGCGGTTGGTTAGAAAAGATGCAGCTAATTAGCTACTTAAGTAAGGTTTTACCAACATCAACCACTCATGCTTTAGCCAAATACCTCCTACTTCAACGAAGATACTTCTAGAAAAGATAACTTGTTTAAAAAAAAAAATACCTCTTCAGCTGCAGTTCACAGAATGATTTCAGGTCAGCTGACTGCTTCCCCCAAAATTCCTAAAATTGAACAAGAGGTGGGTTGGTTGAAGTGGTTGACAGTTTTTCTACGCCAGAACACATCCTGTTAAGTCACAGAGAATGTTCCAAACAAAAAGAACTTACCAGAACATCGTCCTCAAGGTGTTGGAGAACGTCGACATCCTTGTCAAGATTGCTCAGCTCTTGAAGAACAAAGCTGTGAAACTGTTCTAGTTTATTCAGCCTGAGAAAAAACAAGAGCGACAAACTTCACCGGACCGCCGGATATGACAACGGCATTCCTAATCTTATTGCAGCAATGCTCCGTATTTTTCTCTAGATGGTTCTTGTCCTAAGAATATACATCTCCTTTCTCTTCTTTCCCCTTGGAAATGTTGCTTTGAGGGACCACAATTCCATAAACTTGTGTTGAAACCCGACACTTACCTGCGATGATGTATCTGGTTTAAAAGTTCTATCAGGCAATCTGGTACTTCCTTTGCATTTTTGGAATAAAGTGGGCTCCTTCTGTACCTAAGCTAAACCATAACAACAAAATGAGCACATCCGGGTTAAACAGAACTACATAAATTGGGTATACGCTTTGTATTAAAAAGATGCTGCCCGCAAACATCATTACTAAAGCACTGTAATAAGACACCATGCTACACATTTCGTATCTTATTACCTCAGGTTTGATATCAATAAAAGACAATAAGTTAAAGCAGGAAAACTTATATTCATGCCACTGATACACATATTGAGTATCATGAACAAATTTCCATTATAAATCAGCTTACATTAGTACTGCAGAAAAAAAGACTGGAGATCTTTCAAGTTAGTTCAATGACTATACGTTAGGGTGAGACCATAAGTATTTTTCACAACAAATAATTCCTTAGGGATTTATAAACGGTAGGGAAAGGGAGGGGATGCAAATGGTTTCAAAGTTCCTTTTGCAGACAAGGTTCTAAGACCGCCTGCATGTGTGGTGTCCCAAAGATTTGCCCTGAGCAGCTGGCCACCCACCCACAGACCACCTTCCTCTCCATCCCAGATGCATCTCTCATCCAGGCGGTCCCCTGGCCCCTTTCGTGTCTGTCACTGCGACCAAATCATTGCTTCCTGCTTGTCCAGTTTTCTGAGACTGCAATCAACAAAAACCAAAGCCTTTCCATAAAGTCCATCTGGTCCCATGATAGGACAAGGAATAGCTGACCTGGTTTAAGCTGGGGTTTTGTTTTTGGTTTTTTGGCCACACATGAAGCATGTGGGATGTTAGTTCCCCGACCAGGGATCGAACCCATGCCCCCTGCAGCGGAAGCTCAGATTCTTAACCACTGGACCCACTGGACCACCAGGGAAGTCCCCAGAACAGCTGTCTTATAAATACAAACCACTATTCACAAAGGCACTAAATTCAGCAACCACAGCGAGGACAAATGTACCTCCCCGGAGACTCGGGCACACCTTCAACAGGAAGGACCACAGTGGGATTAATGAATGTGAACCTGTTACTTCAGATGCATAACGACCTAGCTTTTCATTTTTACTGGGCCATTACCTCATAGTTTCTTTTCAGTTCTCTAGTGAAGTTTTCAAAAGCTGTGATCATCACAGAACCTTTCAAGTTCTCTGGCGTAACGTTTAAGGATGAAGTTGAAATGCCTTCTGCACAAGAAGAATAGAACATTAAGTAAAACTAACAAAGGGCTGAAGTAAGTGTGCTCAGCCTGCCTGCTGCCCAGAGCACGGGAAGTCCTTTAGAAACACGGGCATGACTCAGAGAAGACCCGCTGGCTTCTGTGGGTCACGGATTTCATGATCTACAGACGTCCATGGCTGCAGCAAGACCGACTCCGACCGTGACCAACTGGGCCAGCTTGAGCCAAGAGTCCTCAGCTGATGCTTCACGCAGCTTCCCACCAAAACTCACTGTCTGGCAAGTGCTCATTTCAACAAAGTTTCCCAGCACCTTAAATCAGAGCAACTGACAGTACATCCAAGAAGCAGGCTGAGGTGTTGTCAGAGGTCTCTAGGACGATGTGATGGGTAAGACATTCTAGGGACTGGCATTTAACAGTTTCTGGGTGCCAAGAAGCTTTACGAGGGCTCACAAAGGGTCTGGCACTGTATGGACCAACTCATTTAATTCTCACAAAATCCAAGTGAAGCAGGCACTGTTCACGTCCACTTTTCACACAGGTATCACACAACTGGTGTGAGCTCACACAGACAGCTCCAGGATCGGAATGCAAGGCTGCCCGGCTCTTACCACCCCCTTTGAGTACCTGGGGGCCTCCAAATTTGCCTTCTGAGAGCCTTTTGTTTCAAAGGATAGTTGTGTCGCTCATCCAGAAGGCCAACCCCACGTATGTAGACATTTCAGATCATTCTCCTTCATCTGTGGAGTGGATATTTCTAACACAAACATTTGACTAGTACTAACTGGAAGGACTGATGCTAAAGCTGAAACTCCAATACTTTGGCCACCTCATGCGAAGAGTTGACTCATTGGAAAAGACCCTGATGCTGGGAGGGATTGGGGGCAGGAGGAGAAGGGGACGACAGAGGATGAGATGGCTGGATGGCATCACTGACTCAATGGATATGAGTTTGAGTAAACTCCGGGAGTTGGTGACGACCAGGGAGGCCTGGCGTGCTGCGATTCATGGGGTCGCAAAGAGTCGGACACGACTGAGCGACTGAACTGAATTGAAAGCAGATATCTGTAAATTTAAGAACACTTGGGCCCTGGAAATTGCCACAACACGTGAAGAGGGAGAAATCAAAATGCCAGGAGCAGACAGTGCTTGCTCTTATCTACAGTTTGTGCAACAATTTACTCATGTCTATGAGGACAAAGCGCTTCATTTTTAGGCTCCTGCAGCCACTCTGATCTTAAAACTCTAGCTGCTTTGCAGTTAACGTTGGGACGCTCAGTGCTCACACATCTGAAACATTTGGGGTGCCCGGCATTACCTGCCAACTCAGCCTCTGCCACCGAGGAAAGGGCTCCTGGTTCACCACCGTCTTCCAATCGTGGCTGTTTCCACTTAGCGCCGTGACGGTCGGCTGTGTCTGAAGGCAAGCGGAACACACTGACGACCACACACACACGTCCCCCTGTCCCAGATTTACCTTGTTCTCTTTTCACCAGTGAATATCGAGCCGTGATGAGCGGCAAGTGAAACGTGTTCCCGCCTTGTTACAAATTGCTGAGCATTTGGCATGGTGACTAAGGACAAGCCTCAAAGCACTAGGCGTGCTGAAGACTGGAAGAGGACCCGAGCACCCTTTGATGAGCTCAGTGACATGTAGGAGCACTCTCCTTTCCAGGGTACGGGCTGGCTCAAATGAAAAGCAGTAATGGTTGGCCCCAAACCTCTACCAGGGCTCCCTGCTGAAGCGGCAAGGTAGCAAGGTTTCCAGGCGGACTGGCCCTTGGAAGTTGATCGGCTCAGCCCCAGGAGGGCGCCACCTGCTGGTGACGCGGCGCCTGGCACCAGACTGAGGGCTGTCTCACCAACGAGGGCCTCCCTAGTGTGTAAGGGATCCCATTCTCACCCGGAACCTGAAAGAGTTCACATCCAGCTTCTCTCGTGTGTGTGTTTTTTTTTAAAGTGAAAAGCATAAGCAATGCTCTAAACTTGGAAAGGTGCAGCTATCTCTTTTCACTGCTCTAAGATTCAGGTGTGTTCCTTTGTTTGAGAAGTTCAGTTCAAGGCGCTCAGTTGTAACCAACTCCTTGGAACCCCGCGGACTGCAGCACGCCAGGCTTCCCTGTCCATCACCAACTCCTGGAGCTTGCTCAAACTCACGTCCATGGAGTCGGATGGGTATTTGCTAGGTAGCTGCACTGTTTCAAGGCTAAACGATTTTTTTAAATTCAGGAAAGAATCCAGACACAGCCCAGTCTTCCTCTGGCCTCAAAACAAAGAGAACTCAGCCTTAAATCTCACAAGGTGCCTACACCCCAGTGAAGACCCAAAGAAACCACTTAGAAAGAATTCTAGCTAGCCCCAGTTAGGTACCCAAGAACGACTACTATGTTTCCTTACATTTCTCTTTCTGCCTGTTTTGCCTCTTCTGGGTTTTTTTTCTTTCTTTTCCCTGTCCTGACACAAGCAATAGCTCAAAGCATGGCCTTGATGTTCATGCCCCACCCATGGAAAACAAAGCAGCTACTGGCATGGACGATATAACAGTCACCTCCAATGGAGAGAGGACTCCAGGAACACTGTGTAAATAACATGACGCTTCCCTGAACAAGCTGCTTGGAATTTATGAACCTACTAAATGGGGATCATCCCAGATGGCCCACTTCAGAGACATGGAAATAATCTGGCACAGAAAACCCTTTGGAAGGGACAATCTTGTAAAATTACTTTACCTGAAATAGAGGAACGGCTCTCCAGAGAGAACGAGCTCCTCTAGGGAAAGCAGCGCACTCCTTAAAGCATGCAGGTCCTAAGTGATGCAGCTGACTCAGCTTTGTTTCCATGGCAACTGCATGCCTCTTTGAACCAGGACTTTTGGACATTTTCACAAAGGGGCTAAAACTATGTACACGCAGCACTTAAAAAAATGAACACAGGGAGTAAACACGGCGTGGCCGAAACTAAGGTGATCTCGAATGAATGCTGGTTCTCTTGGTGGCTGCTAAAGGAGTGTCCACTTGCTTTCGGACACAGGTGTCTTTATTGCTGTGAAAGTTGAGGGCTTTTGCAATCTGAGGAGCTTCTGAACTTATTTTGGGCACATGCTGTATGTAGTGAATAATTTGGTGTCCATATTGCATTTATTTACTCATATTTCTGACAAAAACAGTTTCTAGTGCCACACAGAACCAACCCTATGATGAAGAGCCAAGTTCTCCCAAGTTGAGGCATTTAAAAAAAACCTTACTCTGAAGTGACACCAAGTGGCTATAAATGATAAAGGCCAACAGCCTTCACTGGGGCAAGAAAAGTCTTTTACCAAAATACCCTTCCTGTGGAGGCACTTTCCTACTGCCAATTCCTCTGTTTATTCTACCAATGTGTACTATGCTAAGAATCTGAAAGGTTAAAGACAATCTTTATTGTTGAATTTATCAGCCTGATGGAGACCACTGAAAAATCTTTTGTCTGGATTAATGCATTTTGCTTGCCAATGCAGGAGACTCAAGAGCTGTGGGTTTGATCCCTGGGTTGGAAAGATCCGCTGGAGGAGGGCATGACAGTCCACTGCAGTATTCTTGCATGCAGAATCCCATGGACAGAGGAACCTGGTGGGCTATATAGTCCATCGGGTTGCAAAGAGTCAGACACAACTGAGAATACACACACAAACCAATTAATAATAAATACGTATTTGTGAGTGTGTATAGATGATTATTCAAACACAGAATTCTGCAGAGGTTCATCACTACATGATAGCATTGTCTAAGTTTATTATTTATTTTTTAAATTTCTTATTCTTATTTCTAAGTTGTGTTGTTGCTGTTTGGTCACTAAGTCGTGTGTGACTCTTTGTGACCTCAAGGACTGTAGCCTGTCAGGCTCCTCCATCCATGGGATTTTCCAGGCAAGAATACTGGAGTGGGTTGCTATTTGCTTCTCCAGGGGATCTTCCCAACCCAGGGATCGAACTTGGGTCTCCTGCATTGCAGGCAGATTCTTCATTACTGAGTCACCTGGGAAGCCCCTTTCGAAGAACGTACACAATGAGGGCAAAACGCAAAATCATGAGTAATCAGTCTTCCTGTCTGCTCGCAGCTCTGGGAGCCCAGGACATCCAAAGTTCCAGGGTAAACATTAAAACAACAGCCCATGAGCAAAAAAGCCAAACAGGAGTTTCCTCCTGTCTTCCCCCAAAGGACACCGGGTTTTGAAAATCACCCAACAAAGGGACTTTGTGGAAGTCTGAGAGTCCAGTGTGAAGGCCTGACATGCTGTTGGACAAAGAAAAATATCCGACTGGACGCATCCGAGAGGATAACAAGGACCGTCTCACTTGAGCCACGTCAGCGCGTGCTCAGGGCGGCCCAGCTCAGGCCCAAGAGAAACCCTCTGAGCTCAAGTTTTCTCCCTCGGGGGATGACGAGAGCATCTGGGTGAGTGCTCAGTTTCCCCAGCCACAGAAGACCATTTCTTTCTTGCTCCATCCAGAATCCTGAGGTACACTACACGGCCTGGGGTGGGGAGGGGCTTGGAGAACAGCATCCAGGGTTCTCAGGGAGCATCGAAGGGCACAGATCCTACTACCTGCCTCAGGGACCCCATAAGAAAGCCTGCAGGGACCCCATAAGGAAGCCTGCAGGGGCCCCATAAGGAAGCCTGCAGGGACCCCATAAGGAAGCCTTCTCAAGAGCTGCTGGGCACGCATCACCTACGGGATGACCCTGCAGCTGGTCCACGGACACCACAAACAATCTGGACACCTCGTCCACACACAAGCCCACCCTGGGGCTGGCTTATTTTGCACACTACCAAGAGCAGTCCAGTATTCCTGCCTAGGAAATCCCACAGGACAGAGGAGCCTGGCGGGTTATGGTCCACAGGGTCACAAAGAGTCAGACACGACTGAGAGACTAAGTAACAACAAAGGGCACCTGCTGTGAGCACCCTTAAGGCAGTCAGACCCACTCAGCAGGACTGGAAGGAAGCACCAAGCATGAGCACCCACCCCCCGCGACCCACTCATCAGGACTGGGAGGACGCACCAAGCGTGAGCACCCACCCCCCAAGACCTACTCAGCAGGACTGGGAGGAAACACCAAGCATGAGCACCCACCCCCGACCCACTCGGCAGGACTGGGAGGAAGCACCAAGTGTGAGCACCCACCCCCCAAGACCTACTGAGCAGGACTGGCAGGAAGCACCAAGCATGAGCACCCATCCCCCACAGCCCCAGGGAAGGCGACAGGAGGCTGTCAACATCTGGCCTGCTGTGCAGCGTGCAGAGAAAATGCAGTCTGCAGAGGTTCCCCGGAGAAAGAAAAGCGTGGAGCAGGCATATCCCTACAAAAGGCCTGGGAAGGCTTCAGAATCCCTAGGAGACAAAATGCATTTCTCTCCTGAAGCCAATCAGTATAGACTAAATATGAAGACAGCAACGCAAAACTTCAAGGAACAGGAAACTCAAGGAAATGCGACCCCTCCAAAAAACACGATTATACAGTATCCTGGCCTGGAGAATTCCATGGAGTGCATAGTCCATGGGGTTACAAAGAGTCGGATATGACTGAGCAACTTTAAAAAAAAAATACAGCAACTAACCTCCACACACACAAAAAATATATGGAGCTCTGCAATTTGCCTAAAAAAGAATGCAAAACAGTTGCTCTAAGGAAGCTCAGTTAGCTATAAGAACACTCAAAGGTACGAACATCCAGTGACAAACAAGTCAAGTCCTGGGGATGAAATGTACAGGCAGCGGGGTGACTGCAGCTAAGACTTTATCGCACATTTGAAAGTTTCTGAGAGAGTAGACCTTAAAAGTTCTCATCACAAGAAAAAGACTCACTATGTGTGGGGACAGATGTTAATTACATTCATTGGGATCATTTACAACATGTACAAATAGCAAACGATTATGTCGTACACTTGAAATTAATATGCTGTCAATGATATCCCAATTTTTTTAAAAAAGGAAACAATCTACACTTTTTTGGAGTCCCAGAAGGAGAAAAGAGGGAAGAGGAGCAGAAAGCTATTTAAGAAGATAATGGCAGGCTTCCCTGGTGGTTCAGTTGGTAAAGAGTCTGCCTGCCAATGCAGGAGACGTGGGTTTGATCCCTGGTCTGGGAAGACTCCACATGTCGCAGAGCAACCAAGTCCCTGTGCTATAACTACTGAGCCTGGGGACCACAACTCTGAGCCCATGTGCTGCGAATACAAAAGCTTGTGCATCACAATAAGAGAAGCCACCACAATAAGAAGGCCACGGACTGCAACAACGAGCAAGCCCTGCTCACCGCAACTACGGAAGAGCCCATGCAGCAACGAAGACCCAGGAATGGCCAAAAATAAATAAATAAAATTTAAGAAAATAATAATGGCTGAGAACTTGCAAAATCTGGGGCAGAATTTGGACATCCCAGTTCAGGAAGCTCATAAACTCCCCCAAAGATTCCCTCACAAAGATCTTCTGTTAAGATACACCATAACAAAACTGTCTAAAATCAAACACAGAGACAGAATTTTAAAAGCAGTGGGAAAAAATTCCTCATATACAAGGGGACCCTTGGTTTAGTTGCTAAGTTGTGTCTGACTCTGTGTGACCCCCTGTAGCCCACCAGGCTCCTCTGTCCATGGGATTCTCCAGGCAAGTATACTGGAGTGGGTTGCCATTTCCTTCTTCAGGGGATCTTCCCTGCCCAAGGACCAGACCTGGCTCTCCTGCATTGCAGGCAGATTCTTTACCAACTGAGCCACCAGGGGAGCCATGCCCACTTGCATAGAATACCCTTTTCCAATCTTTCACTCTGAGCCTTTGTGCATCCTTAAAGCTGAACTGAGTCTCGGTAGGCAGCATATAGTTGGGTCTTGTTATTTTTATCCATTTAGCCACTCTCCATCATTTGATTGGACAATTTAATCTATTTACACTTAAAGTAGTGATTGATTTTTAAGGGCTTACTAACGCCTTTATATTCATTGCTTTCTGGCTCTTTTACAGTCCTTCTCTTGCTGTTTTCTTTTGCGGTCAATTTTCTACAGTGGTATGTTTTGATTCCCTTTTCTTTATCTTTTATGTATCTACTATAGATTATCAGAAAAACAGACTTTAGGTTAAAAAATATAATGTGAGAAAAAGGTCATTACATAATGACAAATGGATCAATTAATAAAAAGAAGGTAACAAACTGTAAATATATATGCACCCGATATTGCAGAACCTATTTTACGCAAACATTAACAGATATGAAAGGAGAAAGCAACAACGCTATAATAGCGCAGGACTTCAGTGCCACCCACCCTGGGGTCAGAGAGGGGACATGCTAGGTGATGGGCCTCGGAGCCCAGGCTATGTGCTTCCTGACACAGACCTTCTTGTTTCGGGAGTGAAACCCCTGTTCCTCCCCTTGACCTTCAGCACGCTTGGAGCAGGGAAGCAGACGGCATTGCCCTCCCCAAGGTCTGGCAACTGTCTCTCTGTAGAGTGATTATATCTGCCTCCATTTGAATAATAGCCCTGTCAGCCAAAATCAGATAAATTTTGCTTAATTCTGCAAAAAAAAAAAAAAAAAGTTTAGAATTCTCTCACCTCTGTCTTCTATATTTTGCAGTTTATGTTGGAAGCTAGTACTTTTCATCAATGACTCTGGGGCCACAGTCTTAAAAAAAAGAGGATCAGAAATACATGTATTTGTGTCAAAATAAGCAATACACAGTATTACATCATCCCTTAAGAAGGAATAAGCCAGTACATTAAGTATAATATCAATTCTGGAAAACCAGATAAATAACCAACAATTAAATAGTACCTTAGATACATTTTCTTCAACATCTGAGTGCCCCAGCGAAGAAAGATCGCTCAGTGGGCTGGGGCTGTGAAGCTCTGCGTATTGGAGAGAATGAGTAGTTATAAGAGAATAAACATGCTAAGAAGCAAATGAGGAAATGACATTTCACTATCAATCTATAAATTAAATTTCAACATACCCTGCCCCCTGTAAGGGATATAGTTATTAAAAAAAAAGAAAAAAACTCAAACCAAAAAACACTTTGTATCTTTCAGAGTATGCACAGGTATTAGGTTTACAGGTTTGCAGATAAAATGAATAGCCTGTTACCTCACTAGATCGGCACCTTTAGTAGTTGCCCATGTGGCCCCAAATGTGTGGCAAGAATTCTATGACCTCACCGCTGTAGTTCTCTTTCCTCTCTGAGATCTGTTCCTTTATTGCCCTGACTCTCTAATGCTGCATTTCCTCTCTCCTATTTTTCTTTCCCTACCTCTTTTCTTCCAGGGGCAGCCAAACTTAGAGGCTGGCACTCGCCTGTTAAGTGTTACTAGGTACCCGCCAATGTGCTAAGCTGTAGGATGATAAAGGTGAAGAAAACAATATCTTGACTCTTACCAATTTAAAAGATGTCAATTGTTTCAATAAAACACAGTGGGGGCTGAGATAAACCTTATAAATCAAGGGTCGGCACACCCTGGCCCCTCAGGTCAAATCCAATCTGTCGCTTGGCTTTATAAATAAAGTTTAATGGAAACACAGATATAGCCATTGGTTTACATCTTGTCTGTGACTGATTTGGGACTATAAATGCAGAGTTGAAGAGTTGCAACAGAAACTCTAGGGGCCAAAAAAGCAAAAAAAAAAAAATACTACCTGTTGCTCTACAGAAAACGCTTACCAAACCCTGCAAATAACCACCATTTGCGTTTGTTGCTATTTTAAAAGCAGATGAACACCAGCGATTCTTACCCACAAGGTGATCTCAAATGTTAAACGGAATTAAAACACAAAGTCCTCTGTCTTTTGTTAATCAGGACAAGAAAGAGAAGATTAATCAATCATACCGTCACACTTCCTTCAACAGATATTAAGAGAAACATATTTTGCTTTTTTAAACTACCATTTCCAAAATACAATTTTTTCTATGTAAATCAACAGAAAATCACATACTTGTTTTCTGGGCAGAATCTTCAGGAGTTAAAAAGGCAGAACTACTCTGAAATTCGGTTCCAGAAATTTTGGGAGGTGTGACATTATTTTGCCTGGAGGCATCCTTCGATAAGGGTGTTAGAATTTTAACCTAAAACACAGTACTTTTTACAAAGTGTTATCATTCACAACCACTCAAGGCAAGTTATCAAAACATTCCAATACGCTTCTAATATCCTTTTAAAATGTTTAAGGATTGGACATGATTCATTTGGGAAAAAGAAACAGTGAGGCCATAAGATCCCAGGGCTGGAAACACATTAGGTCATGAATCAATAAACTAACTCAAAGCTGACTCTAAGCTCTCAAAGTGTGGTCCCAGACCACAGCCTCAGCAGCACCTGAGAACTTGATGGAAATGTAAATTCTTAAGCCCTACTTACAACACACTCAATCAAAAACTCTGGGGACAGGGCCCAGCGATCTGCATTTCTGGTGACCATTCCCATTTCTGAATTTCTGGTAACCATTCTGGTCATTCTGATGGTCACCAAAGTCTGAGAACCACTGCTCTAAACCAGAAGTCAACAAACGACAGCTCTATAGCCTAATGGGACTAAAGTTTTCTTAATGAAGTTTAACTGGAACACAGCACATCCATGCATTCGAGTACTACACACAAGGCTGCCTACAATGGCAGAGGTGAACAGTTGCCATAGAAACCATATGCCCCAAGAGACCAAAATATTTACTACCTGGCCCTCCACAGAAAAGGTCTGCCAACGCTTGCTCTAAGTTATTCTCTTAAACTCCAGCACAGAGATGTCAGTGTCAGCTACCAATGCCTCTATAAAGTTAGCAGTGCCTTCACTGAGAATCACCACAGACATCCTGGCAGCTGCCTATCTTAAATCTGTGGATTCTCAAAGCTTTGATGTTTTTTGGTACCTAATTTTTTTTAAGCTGTATATTGCTAAAAAACTGTTGAGCCTATTTCTTTTTTTAAAGATTTTTTTGATGTGGACTATTTTTTTAAGTCTTTATTGAATTTGTTACATATTGCTTCTGTTTTATGTTTCAGTTTCTTGGCTCAGAAGCATGTGGGATCCTAGCTCCTCAAGCAGGGATCAGCCCTGCACCCATTGCCCTGGAAGGCCACGTCTGAACCACTGGGCCACAGGGAAGCCCTTCTGTGGTCTGTTTCTACGTGATGACTCCTTGTCTCAGGTTGAACACTCAACAAATATTTAGGTACTTGCTCTGGCTTATAGTTTGAGCTATCGCCACTCCCTGTCATTGCAGAACACAAGAGTCCCCCTGGGCAGATGGCTGAAGGTAGGCAGGGGAGGGCAGATAACAAGCTATGGCTAGAGAGCTATGTGGTGCCAAGTCGCTTCGGTTGTGTCCGACTCTGTGCAACCCCGTGGACTGCAGCCCGCCAGGCTCCTCTGTCCATGGGATTCTCCAGGCAAGAATACTGGAGTGGGTTGCCATGTCCTTCTCCAGGGGATCTTCCTGACCCAGGGATCGAACCCAGGCGGGTTCTTTACCCCTAGCGCCAAGGCCAGATCCTATCAGAGCACTAAACACATTATACTTGTGTACAGGTGAGCAGGGTGCTGCTGATGTCCTCAGCATCCCAGCGCCGCCCACAGGAAATCCTTAAACACTTCACACTGTATTCTGTAGTGTCTGTGCTTTTGTGTGCATATACACATATATATAAAATATATATATTTATATATAAGTGTATGTATTCTACCTATATGTACACAATTATATAGAACATATATCACATACTATATACACATGATTATGTATCACATTATATACTATATAAAATATATTTCATATATACATGATTATGTTATAGTGAAAGTGAAAACTAGAAAATTCTTACACACTTTGCACTAATTCTGTAGTATGTGTGTTTTTGTGTGTCTGCATATATACACACACATATAAAATGTTACACATATATATGATTATATGTTACATAGTGAAAATGGAAAGTGAAACAGTTTTCATTTTCACTTTTCATTTTCACTATGTGACATAATATATAATCATGTATATATGTACATGTTTTATATATGGTATATAATGTGATATATACATATAGTATGTGATGTATATTTATATACATGATACGTATTATATATAAAATATAATCACACACACATACTTTATTATATACACTAATTTCATTCAACAAAGGACATAAGCCAACTGCTGAGAAAGGTAATTCAGCTAAAAACATGATAAATTAAGCTTTGAATTGGTCTGGAGGACACTCATGTCCATGTTCTTAACTACTTTCCTACAAAACAAGGATAATTGAAGGGATTCAGAGTTTATTCAATATTTATATAAGCCTGAAGGCATTTCAACCTCTGGCAACATAAAGATTTAAATAATTAAAATCTTTGTGAATAACATGTCCACAAACTGAAAACTAAGAAGAATTAAATCAAGAAGTTTATTTTAAAATACAAATTCAAAAGAACACATATTTTCAGGAAATCAGAATAGCCCAGATTTCAAGCATACTTTGTAATAAACATCTTTCAATAAGTTTTCAACCAAAAAAAAAAAAAAAGATCCTAAATCTCTGCCCAAGATCCATATTAAATATGTGGAAGTCCTTGAAGTTTCTACTGAAGGTGGTTTACACACTAGTAAACCACTGGTTTGTTATTTTTCTATTCCGGAAAGGAGTTTTTTTAAATAAAGGTAGTTCAAACCTAAATAGACCAACTTGTTTCAAACTTACAGCATTAAAGGGCACATGCAAGCACAGAAAAAACTTACTCGATCTTTCTCAAGGTCGATGCCACTGCTGGGAGGGAAAGGAGGCAAGACTAGAATGAAAGGAAACAAGAGTCCGACTGGTAAGTTTACTTATGAGAGACACAGAATACACTCGAGAAGCAATCCCCACTTCCCACAGCTTGCTGAAATGTCTAACCCTCTAATTATTCAGCTTTGCTCCTCTCTGACCAGCATGAATTCTTTGCTCCAGATACTGCTTCTGAACGCTCTTCTCATGTTCTTGCTGTTGTTGTTCAGCTGCTAAGTCGTGTCCGACTCTTTGCGACCCCACAGACTGCAGCAAGCCGGGCTTCCCCGTCCTTCACCCTCTCGGGGTTTGCCCAAATGCGTGTCCGTTGAGTCGGTGATGCCACCTAACCATCTTGCCCTCTGCCACCCTCTTCTCCTTTGGGCTGCCATCCTGCCCAGCAGACCGGCCCATGTTCTTCCAGTTTTACCTAACCAGAATGCTTCCTCTTCTCCATACTTCTTCAAATCCTATTCTTTTCCCAAGGATTAGCTGAGGTCCCACCCAGCCTTCCTTGAAGCTTTTCCTGAAGATTTCAGCTTATTACATCAGACTCCTCTTATCTGAACTCTTTACTCCACTTATCTGTAGTTCATATTTCACAATTATCGGTCAATTCCAGATTCTTTAGTACTGTTTCACATATGAACATTTTCCCTTTCCCATGTAACAGTAGCTGGATCACGTGATCATACATCTCTTTGATACCCTTTCCCATCACATCCCGCCAAAGTAATACCTACTGATTCGTTGAAAAGCGACTGGAAAGAAAACACATACCAAACTTACCTCTCAAGCTGCTTCTCCTGGTTCTTGTCTTTTTCCTACTAGGATACGACTTCAAGGATTTCCTTTTTCGGTCACTGGTCCAAGACAGCTCACTGCCACTACTACTTGAATCTTGATTACTCTCCGAGAAAAGGTGTTTCCTATAATCAAACTTTTACAGACACAGGTGATACATGAGAACTATTGAAAGGATGCCATAGCATTTATGTTCACTTAAACACATGACTACAAAGTTAGGCAAAAGAGAAGTAACTCCTTGTCTAAGACTGGGCTGTTTTACATAACAAAAGGGCACAGAAGTACAGAGAAGGGAGAAAAAGAAGATGATTATATCCCTAGAGAGCTGCTGTTGTAAAAGGTAACAAAACCCTCCCTAATCGTAGAGACGGTAGGTAACTCTCCAAACGCTGGTGCACCTGATTGCTGTGGCAATACCAATTTCAAAATGCTAGCCCATGGTACTGAGAACCACAGCTAAAAGAAAGCCAGAAGGAGCTTTGTTTGAAATCCTTGATCTCAACTTTAGGAACAAAAGTCTCATTTATTGCTCACACACAGATTTCTGTTCTAATGCACTGATGATAGACTTAAAGCACTCTGCTTCCCAAAGGAAGACCAACAGAGAGATGGAAGCGGATAATGTAGGAACAAAACAACATCACTGACTCAGAGCAAAAAATTTCTTTCCAATTCATTAACACTTCTGATTCTATCAGAGTAAATTTCAGCAGCTAGAAAGTCTTTAACACTTCTCTTTTACTTCAGTATCTTCTTTTAAATCTACTTTTAATTTGGAGGATAATTGCTTTACAATGTGGTATTGGTTTCTACCATATAACAACACGAATCAGCCTTAAGTATACAGATGTCTTTTTTGACAAAGCAAGGACAGACTTTTGGCTCAAAGCCTAATGCAAGGAAAAATATTACAATTCGATATAACTTTGCTATTCTCTGTTGTACCTACTTGTGGGCTTTACCCACTATTAGAATTAATGCTGATTTTCCACTTGAAAGTGAAATACTTCCTTTTTAAAAGACCTTAAGATAAATTTAACTGAGAATCATAAAGACGCAGAGCCAAGGCAAAGTCTGAAGATGGTATGCAAGTAACTAAAACGGGAAGGACTGCCCCCAAACAATGAAAGTGATTTCATTACCGACATCCTTGTTTCTTGCTTTCTATTATCCTCAAAAGCAGAATCTTTCCTGAAATCAAAATACATTGAATTAACGGAACTGTGGCCCCAACAGTTTCACCCTTCTTTTTTCTTCCATGTACCCTCTGTCTGTGAGCCCAGCGCAGGGAAGCACCCCATTCTGTGACAAACTTCTTGTCTTGCAATCCATTTCCATACATCTTCTCCCGGCCAACAATTTGCTATTTAAAACAAAACCTTTGTTGAGCCCATCCCCATGAGGCATATAAAGAAGAGGATGGCAGGGCGATATGAGCAAGTCAGCAGCGTTTCCTACCCGGTTCTGTCTTAGACTCAGCTGGGCGCTACGAAAGACTTTCTGGATGATTAGTGGCATCAAGCATCTTCTCACACACTTCTTGAACGTTTGTATATCTTCTTTGGGGAAATGTCTGTTGAAAGCCTTTCCCCTCTTTTTTTAATCAGATGATTTTTATTTTTTTTTTTGCTATTGAATGTAGGCATTCCTTATATATTTTGGATATTAATCCCTTATCAGATAACATGGTTTGCTGTTATCTATTTGCTAGCACACAGAAAGAAATTTGATTTTTGTATACTAATCTTTTTTTAAGGTTTTTAAAATAACATTTATTTCTTAAAAGTTAACACATGCATAATAGGAAACCAAAAAACACAAGGAGCAAAAAACAAAGTGATTCATAATCACAAGTAGTTTAGCATTTGGTGTGTCCTTCTAGGTCTCTTATATCTTTCAGTTTTGTTAAATTGAGGAGTTGTTTAATGGGGACAGCATTTCAGACGGGGAAGATGGAAAATGCTCAGGAGGTGGACAGAGGTGATGACTGTACAACATGAGTGCACTTAATGCCACGGAACATACACTTACAAAGGTGAAGATGGCAAACTTTACATTATGTATATTTTAAGACAATTTTTAAAAAAGTCAGCCCTATACTAAATGTTATTGTGCATGTGTGTGCAGTCTGAACAGGGATAGACTACGATAATCAAAGAGCTACTTTGAAATCCCACTTGGAGACTACAGGTAGACGGGGAACTTTAAGGAACTTTGGGAGACCAACCTTAAGTTAATGATCACCCCAGAAAGCAACTGGAAAATCTTGAAGCAAAGCAGGCCTGTTTAACGATGAAACTAACAACAAAAATGCACAAGTCAGTGATGTATGCATTCTGCCGGTTGAGGTCACTAGGTTAATGATCCCTAGGACATGCTCCTCTGCACACATTAAAAACAAAAATAGAGGGGAAAGGTGACATTCCAAAGTGGAAAACCCTCATCATACTGATTGCTGTTGTTCAGTCACCAAGTTGTGTCCAACTCTTTGCGACCCCGTGGACTGTAGCTGCCAGGCTCCTCTGTCCATGGAATTCTCCAGGCGAGAATGCTAAAGTGGGTTGCCATCTCCTCCAGGAGGATCTTCCCGATCCAGGGATCGAACCCATGTCTCCTGCATTGGCAGGTAGATTCTTTACTGACTGAGTCACCTGGGAAACCCCATTATACTGATACCTGACATGATTTACCATAGTCTAGCATGTGTAACGCCCACTCCAGTGTTCTTGCCTGGAGAATCCCAGGGACGGTGGAGCATGGTGGGCTGCCGTCTAAGGGGTTGCACAGAGTCAGACACGACTGAAGCGACTTAGCAGCAGCAGCAGCATATGTAACCACTCTTTCGCTGATTTGAACAGTGCCATGATGGTCCCAGTTTGACCAGGCAGGGACAAGAAAATTTCCCAGCCTGACATGGGAGAGGAGCCGATGATGGAAGCTTAACTCAAGGATGAGGAAGACGGTGGCTTTCTCCCTGCTGTTCCTTTGACTATAAAAACGTAACCTATGAAGCACTCAAAGCCCTCTCTTCTGCCTACAACTCGCACCTTTTTAGCAAGAGCATGCTCAGCCATTACCAACTCTTTGGGACCCCACAGACTATAGCCCTCTATCCATGGAATTTTCCAGGCAAGAACTAATAAACTCTTCCCTTACCTGCCACTCTCTTCTCATTGAGTTCTTTATGCATCGAGACAGAGAAACCTGTGCTCTTCTGAGCCCTCAATTGCGTTCTGCGGTTTCAGTCTGAATGTAAAAGCAGGCGTACGTGCCGTTTTATTTATTCCAACACAAAAGAGCTAAAAAGCTCCGAGCAGTACCCAAGATTTCTTTGTGGTAAAGGCATCTGAATGTCCCTTTTAATTGAGGTACTCATTTGTAGACAGAGGAACAGAGACCCGGAGATGAACAGATTACTCCAGTCTGGAATCCTTAGCTCAGAGTCTGCAGTGGTTTTGCTAGATGTTCTCAGGGAATGAGTACCCTCCGGAAGACCAAGACCTACCCTCTGCTCTACATGGCCATATTCCGCAGGACAACACGCGAGCAGCCCCTTCCCAAAGACCAATCTAGACTTCTCAGAGCAGCAGCAACAATGTCCCACGCTTCCCAGAAGGAGAAGAAGGATTCTCAGATTCAAGCAGGGCTGGGGAGTTCTCACTGCTGAATGGAGGATCAGACAGGCGCAGAGAAGGGCAGCAGGTTTCCGGGAGGATCAGAGCCCCAGAGGAAGGCTGCAGGGTTGCCTGAGCGCGGCATACTTCCAAACCAGGTGGCACAGGCCCTCCAGCTCCCACTCCTGCTGGGGCGGGCGTGAGAGGTAGGAGCGAAGCCGGAAGAAACCTGGACTGCTCCAAGGATCTGAAAGGACGAAACACTGGATGCCTGGACAAGAAAGTGTGACGAGAAGGAAGCAGAGTTGGGGGGTAGGTCTCTACTCTCTTCTAATTGAAAGAGACCTTTGACCACGAAATGGCTAGCTACAGGGATGATACACAAACACTCCTTTTTAGTTCCTGGACAGCCTGACACATGTAGGCTCTACTCCTGGCTTCTAAGTCTCATTTTTTTAAGGTCAGGAAGGAACAGATTTCACAGTGTGACAAAGAGTACTTTAAACTAACATTATTAAAGGAGAAATAGACTTGTTCATTGGTAAAGCGTCCGCCTGCAATGTAGGAGACACTGGTTCGATCCCTGGGTCGGGACGATCCCCTGGAGCAGGAAACAGCAACCCACAAACAAGTATTCATGCCTGGAAAATCCCAGAGGAGCCTGACAGGCTACAACCCATGGGGTCACAAAGAGTTGGACACGACTGAGACAAATGCAGGTCCTAGAGCTGCATGTGTAATTTACAGTTTGGAATTTACATATGTAAATTACATATGTAATTTACAATTACATATAAATTGTAAACCCTTAAAGCCCCCAAATAATAATGCTGACACAGATACACAACACAGAAAGATATCTAATAATTCAAAGAAGAAGAATGGTGTTTGGGAGGTGGAGCCATAACAATAAATAAAAATTAATGAAGTAAATAAAGGAAATTATCACTCATTGAGGACCCTTTGTGGGACTGTGTGGTTCTGGTAGAAAAATGAAGAAACAGCCCACATCAGTACTGGATCTGTTCATTCATTCCTTAGTTCATCCATCAGTGAAAATATATTACTGAACCTACTGATGAGAAAGCCTAGCAACCAGAACCCTCAGAGACTGTTGGTGGTAATGTAGAATGCTCTAAAGACACTGGAAAACATCTTGGTAGTTTTTAAAAAAGTTAAATATACACCAATCATGATCCAGCTATTCCACTCCTATATATTCACCCATGAGAAAAGAAAACATAAATCTCCATACAGAGGAGTTTCCCAGGTGGCTCAGAGGTAAAGAATCTGCTTGCAGTGCAGGAGACTGGAGTTCAATTCCTGGGTCAGGAAGATCCCCTAGAGAAGGAAATGAAAAACCACTCCAGTATTCTTGCCTGGAGAATCCCACGGACAGAGGAGGCTGGCAGGCTACAGTCCATGGAGCTGCAAAGAGCCAGACATGACTTAGCAGCTAAGCCACCTCCACCTCCACAGAGAGACTTATACATGAAGCCCAAGGGCTTTACTTGTAACAACAAAAAAACTGGAAACTCAAATGTCCATCAACAGGAGAATGGACAGACAAGTTGTGGTATATCCATACATTGGATCCACTATTCTCCATACTTTCCATATTCTCTTCAATACTATTGAACTGCTGATACAACATGAAGAATCTCAAAATACTGGGCTGGCCAAAAAGTTTGTTCAGATTTTTCTATGAAAAAACTGAACAAACTTCTTGGCCAATCCCAATAATTACAATGAATGAAAGATGCAAGGGGGGAAAGAAGAGAGTGCCTCCAGTTTGATTTCATTTAAGTAAGATTTTTAAAACTACCAACTCATCTATAGTGACAAAGCAGATCAGTGATTGCCAAGGGTGGGGGTGGGCATGGAGAAAGAGGGAGAGATTTCCAAGGGGCAGGAAGAAATTCTTGGAGATGATGGATATGGTCCTTATCTTGATTGTGGTGATGACTCCCGGGTGTAGACAAATGTCAAAACTCAAATTGTACACTTTACATAGATACATGTTATTTCAATTATATCTCAACAAAGCTGTAAAAAAAAATCACATGTATGACCCATTCTTCAGAGGCCTCCATGGAAAAGTGGCAAATAAATTAGTGCCAAGTGATACGCATTTTCTGTCAAGGAGTATCCAGTGTTCTGCTAGGGAAAACTACATCACCAAAGATAATATTGGGGCTACAGTTTCCTCCCCCAGTGGACCACATTTTGTCAGAACTCTCCAGCATGACCCGTCTGTCTTGGGGGGTCCTGTACGCATGGCTCATAGCTTCATTGAGTTATGCAGGCCCCATGGCCACGACAAGGCTGTGATCCATGAAAGGGGTAGAGACCCGTAGGACAAGAGAACACTGCAGCCCTGCTGAAGTTATTCACAGAAAACCGCACACAACGCTCTCTCCTTGTGTGGGGCATGGCCAGATACAGGAAAGGGGAAAACCCAGACAGTCAAATTGCAATTAACGAGTCACATTAACAGCAATCTACATGGTTTATGACTTCTGAAAATCACTTACCTAGATGCATCATTTAATGTAGGAAACTGAATTGTTGCTGATGATTCTTGTAAATCTACAGAATACTCGCGTTCTGAAGTAACTTCCAAGCATAAAAATAGAAAACAAAAATTGTTAAGCATCTGAAGTATACATTGAAATATACCATTCAAGTCGTATGACAGAAAAAAAAATCTGACCTTTTTGTGTATCATCCAGTTTGGATTTTTCAGGTGAATCATCAGCTGTATTTGTTTGCTGAAGGAAAATGCATATATAAACATCTGCTTAATTAGGGTGCCTTTGAGACTTTTGGGACTCATTCTACACCTCCCAAGAAAAGCATTTGAATACTTGGATATCAGGCTCTTTCTTCATTAAATTTGTCTCCAAGTGACCATTGGTTATTAAAAAAAAAAAAAAAGAAAAGATACCCACCCACAGGAGAAGGTTTACCACATCAAAGATAATCAAGAGTGTCTCACAGTTAGTAAGGGAAACATCAAAGGAAGACTTACAAAAATGTCAACAGCATCATAACTGTTGAGATGTTCAAGTTTCCCAAAAGACACTCTATCTGTAGAAATAATCTTCGGGGTATATTTGTTTAAAAAATATGACACTATCATCACACTTCTCTATAATGTGTCCATGTGATCAAACATAAGAAAATGGACTGAACACCAATGCATGCCAAGCCTTGTGTTAGGAGCTTTATGTGTGTTGGGTTTCTGGTCCTAAGAGGACCACACTATAAACCAGCTATTGTTTGTTTTCTCTAGTCACTTAAGTCATGTCCAGCTCTTTACGACCCCATGGACTACAGCCTGCCGGGCTCCTCTGTCCATAGGATTCTCCAGGCAAGAATACCGGAGTGGGTTGCCATGTCCTTCTTCCTGGGATCTTCCAGATCCAATGACTGAACCTGCGTCTCCTGCATTGGCAGGTGGATTCTTTATCACTGAGCCTCCAGGGAAGCCCAAACCAGCTTTGTTCTCTAGATGAGAAGCCTCAGCCCCAGTGATGTTACATCATTTCTCCAAGTTCCCACAGTCAGTAACTAAGAGCCAGGTCTGATTCCAGAAATGATGCTGCTTCTCACAAGCTCAGTCTCCAAATCCCAAATGAGGAAATGAGGCAAAGCCAGCCCAGTCACACATTCCGTGGGAGAGCCAAGTTGAGGAAAGGCAAGGAAAAATAAGTGCAGCTGGTGAACCTAATTGAAAGGAGGGGATAGTCAAGAGAAGAGAGCGATGGCTGGCCGGGAGAAACTGGACAACAAGCCGAGAGAGCCGGCTTCCACCTGCCGGCACCCTGGAGGACACGGTTCAGAATCCGGCCCAGGTCCCCGTACTTACAGCAGGCTCAGACTGGTTGTTTAAGGGGACAGTTATCAGGTGGTGGTCGTCTTCAGCCCTGGTTACCTCTGCCGGCTCCGTGGAGTCCTTTGCTTCGTCTATAGGCATGAAGAAAAGAGCAATAAAAAAAAAATGGTAACAATAACCATACAAAATGCTGCATACGCTCTGCAAATGCTGGTCATGGGAGCCACACTGCTGGTACAGCGCCATCTTCTGGTGAGAACTGGTAATTAGGGCCTGCCTCAAACATACCAAAAATCTAGAGGCACCTTGGCCTTTGGGTCTAACTCATAAGAAATATTTTACCAGTGCAGGGCCAGCTTTGTGGGCAGACAGGCCCCTACACGCCCCTAGCACTTGCCTCCAGCCACCCCACCATTATTTCTCCTTTGTCATTTCCAACTGACCCCCAGAGAGACTGTATCAGGTGGACAAAATAATTCAAGGTTTAATTTCCAACTTTTTTCTCCAAAGCAGTAGCACATTAATTACTCTTGTATGACCACAGGTTTTCAGTAACCTCTTTCAAATAACATTTTATCATTGCTTCTACAGGGAATCCAGGTAAGAAATTTTGTTATTTCCCAATATACCTGTCTCTATTTTGTGGCTGCTAGGAATCTCAGGGTCTTCTTTCTCTAATTCACCAAAAACGGCTGAGACTTTTGTCTGGTCAGGCATCACCTGAAATGCACACCAAAACCACATGGTTTTTAAAAGCAGTAATTCTTTTCTAAATTTAACATTAACATACATAGAGAGAAATAGCAATATGATAGTAGGAATGGGGGCTTAAATGGGGGCTTCCCAGGTGGAGGTAGGGGTAAAGAATCCACTCGCCAAGGCAGGAGATGCAAGAGACGTGGGTTCCATCCGTGGGTCAGGAAGATCCCCTGGAAAAGGGAATGGCTACCCACTCCAGTACTCTTGCCTGGAAAATCCATGGGCAGAGCAGCCTGGAGGGCTACACAGGGTACACGCGGCTGCAAAGAGTCGGACGCGACTGAGGGACTGAACACACACAAGGGACTTTAATACCCCACTTACATCAATGGACACATCATTTAGATGGAAGATTAATGTGAAGACATCAGCCTTAAATTAATGTTAGATCAGATGGACTTGACATACACATAACGTTCTACTCAAAAGCAACAGAATACACATTCTTTCAACACACTAGAATCCAGGAAACACTCATATTTAGGCCACAAAACAAGTCTTAATAAACTTAAGACTGAAATCAGAGTAAGCATCCTTACCGACCACAATGATATGAAACCAGAAATCAATTATAAGAGGAAAACTGGGAAATTCATAAATATGTGGTGACTAAATGACACACTTCTGAAAAACCAATGGGTCAATGAAGAAAGCAAAGGAGAGTTTAAAAATACATTTTGGCAAATGAAAATGGAAATAAAACATACCAAATCTATGAGATGCAGCAAAAGCAGTTCTAAGAGGGAAGTTATAGTGATAAATGCCCACATCAAAAAATAAAGAAGAAAGATCTCAAATAAACAACATATCTTTACACTTGAAGGAACGAGAAAAATAAATGAACCCAGTTAGTAGAACGAAGAAAAAAGAATGGAAATGAACAAAGTAGAGGCAAAAAAAACCCAGAAAAGATCAATGAAACTAAGAGCGATTTCTTTGAAAATATAAACAAAATTGACAAATATTTCTCTGGAGTCACATATGTATTTTTATAAAGAATGTTATACAGCCATTAAAAAGAAGCAAATTTGCCATTTGCAACAATATGGATGGACTGTGAGGGCCTTATGCAAACTGAGGTAAGTCAGAGAAAGGCAAATTCCATATGACCTTACTTGTATGTGGGATCTTAAAAATGACAACAACAAAAATAAGCTCACAGATACAAACAGCAGATTGGTGATTCCAGAGGAGGGGGTTGAGGGTAGGTGAAATGAGTGAAGGGGGTCGAAGGATACAAATTTTCTGTTTTAAAATGAGTATGTCAAGGGCATTTAACGTATAGCATCGTGATTATAGTTAATACTATACTGCATATTTGAAGTTGCTAAGAGAGTAAAAGATTTCACAAGAAAAAAAAAAACTTCTAACAATGGTGATGGCTGTCAACTAGTCTCATTATGGCAATTATTTCACAATATATACAAAATGGGATCATTATGATTTATACCTGAAACAAATAATGTTTTATGTCAATTATACTTCAATTTATAAAACCCCAATATGGAAATGAAACAAAATATATTCAAATAGTAAAGAAGAATTAAATCTGTCACCTGTTTGTCTTCTCCTAAAGCTTTAATGGAAGCTTGTGATATGTTGAATTGCAGTTCAAAATGGATTTCTATTTTCATCACTTCTTTGTTTCGGATATTAATTGGCTTCTTCAGGTAAATTTTGAGCATCTTCATCTCAGTTTCTAGCAAAAAATAAAGTCCATGTAGATCGACAAACTGAAAAGGGTTGTGTTTTTAAATTTTATAATTTTAAATGACAACTACTGTCCAGATTTTTCTGCAAGAAGAAGCTGAAAAGATATTATTTAAATAAAGTTACTCTGAAATTATTTTTATCAAATGCACATGTGTTTTTATATACACACATTATGTTTAAGTAGTTAATCTTGCAGAAACAGAAGTAATTTAGCAGCATAGCAGTTGAGATAGGTCTTCTAAAATTCAATCCATTTTTTTAAAGAACATTTGTGAATACAAAGCTATCATCTCTGACAGGTATTTTACTTCTCAATATATTAAGCACAACCTTCATTCTCTTAGACCCCACCCATTTCTACAATTCAAAATAAAAATCCACTGTTTCCAGTACACAAACTGAAATAATCCACACTCATAGCAATAGACTCCACTTAAAGAGAAATGGAAACATCCTCGGAGAGGCCTGCTTCTCAGACAATAGTGTCCTTGAGGGTCTCCAGCCAAGACACCAGCCCTTTACTGACAAATAGTAGTGGGTTTTAATAGACGAACTAGTTCAGACCAAGTTCATAGCGAGTCCAAGCATAAGCCGCGGTGAGTACAAGTTGCGTTGGAAGCAGCAGGAACAAAAAACCATGAGAGAGCCGGCAAAGCTCTTTCACAAACTGCTGAGAATGGAAAAAGGGAAAAAAAAAAAAACACACCTGAGTCCAGATCTGTGGCCCCTGATACTTGAAATACGGCTAGTGCAACACGAGATGCATTATAAGCAGAGGTTATAGACTAGTACCAAAAAGAGACGGTCAAGTATCTCATTAATTGTTCACATTGAATACATGTTAAACTGTGAATATTTTGGACATACTGAGTGAAATACACATTAAAATCAGTCTACTTGAAAAAAAAACTTTAATGAGGCTACTAGAAAAATTTTAATTAAATATATGGTTCAGATCATATTTATATAGGATAGTGCTAACCTCTAGTGAAATTCAACAGTCCCCCAAAGGCTGATCTTACTGGACATTCAGTCTCTGCAGGGTAAGTCTCAAACTCTGCAGCAAAACCAATTTTAAACAGGGTCTGAAAAAGTAAATAGCTAACTGTGGTGTTGGAGAAGACTCTTGAGAGTCCCTTGAACTGCAAGGTGATCAAACCAGTCCATCCTAAAGGAAATCAGTCCTGAATATCCATCGGTAGGACTGAAGCTGAAGCTCCAATACTCTGGCCACCTGATACGAAGAGCTGACTCATTGGAAAAGACCCTGATGTTGGGAAAGACTGAAGGCAGAAGGGGATGGCAGATGATGAGATGGTTGGATGGCATCACCGACTCAATGGATATGAGTTTTAGCCAGCTCTGGGAGCTGGTGATAGACAAGGAAGCCTGGCATGCTGCAGTCCATGGGGTCACAGAGTCGGACACAACTGAGCGACTGAACTGAACTGGGCTGTAGGGCTAAATGCAAAGAAACAAGGGTGAGAAAAAATAGCCCGAGAGCTACACCAAACCCTCAACAGGCTCCTAAAGCACTGCCAACCCCTTAGCAGGAAGGGTTGTGCACATAAAAGGCGAGTCTTGTTCATTAAGTTTGCTATACAAGCCTCAGCTTCCTCGACTATAAAACTACCAAGTCACACCTACGTCCTCCAGCTCCTATGAGGCACTTTATGAATCTTAGAGTCTCCCCAAAAGGTAATATATTTATGAAGTATAGGATATTAACTTGGCAAGTGGGTTACTGAAACCACCTCAGCAGCAAAGTTCAGAGTTCAGAAACTTACAATATGTAAAGTAATATTAGGATCTGACCACAGTCAGATCCATGGAAGTCTCTACAAAATATTGACTTCAGAGTAAACACCAATGATATGTTACATATCTTAAATAGTAGCAGGTAATGACTAGATAGCTTTCCTGGTAGCTCAGACAGTAAAGAATCTTCCTGCAATGCGGGAGACCTGGGCTGGATCCCTGGGTTGGGAAGATCCCCTGGAGGAGGGCATGGTAACCCATTTCAGTATTCTTGCCTGGAGAAACCCATGGACAGAAGAGCCTGGCAGGCTACAGTCCATGGGATTGCAAAGAGTTATTCTTAATTTATACTTATTTTTAATTTACATTTTTAATGAGATGTCTATAAACCCCCTTCCTAGAGAGAGGAGGCACTTCCAGCTCAGCATATACTGTCTTTCCAATTCTGTGACTACAGAAACACTGGCTTCTGCTCCTTCCCATCTATGTCACCATAAAAAATATACATTTGATCTTGGCCTCGGTTCCTGACGCAGAGCTCCTAAAATCCATTTTAAGCAACGGGGTGCTAGAAGCATCTTTTGCTCTTATATTTGGTGTTTGACCTTGGTTCCTGACACCAGAGCGTCTAACACCCTTGGCATCTCCTGAGTGATGAGTGTGTTTTCTAAGTTCATGAGGTGACTGTGGGCTGGAGGAGCCTATACAACTTCAGGATGCAGACTGGTCCCCAGAAAGACCAAGGCATGGTTAGAGGGTTGGAACTTCTATCTCTCCAACCTCCAGGGAGGGGAGAAAAGGCCAGAGGTGGAGTTAATATTGGATCATGCCTACATGATAAAGCTTCCATAAAAATCCCTGAACTATGGGGTTCACAGAGCTGTCGGGCTGGTGAACACAAACATTCCAGGAGGGTGACGCAGCCCAACTCCTCAGAACGAGAAGCCCCTGCACTGTGGACCCTCTGGATCCTTTATTATGTACCAGTGAAGTCGCTCAGTCGTGTCCGACTCTTTGCGACCCCATGGACTGTAGCCCCCCAGGCTCCTCCATCCATGGGATTTTCCAGGCAAGAGTACTGGAGTGGGTTGCCATTTCCTTCTCCAGGGGATCTTCCCCACCCAGGGATTGAGCCCAGATCTTCCGCATTACAGGCAGTCGCTTTATCATCCCCTACAATAAGCTGATAAATGTAAACAAACATGTTTCCCTGAGTTCTGTGAACCATTATAGCAAATTATGAAACCCCAGGAGGAGCTTGTGGGAACCTCTGAGTGGTACCGCTTGGTCAGACAGGTGTCAGCCTGTAATTGACTTGCAATTAGCATCTGAATGATGGGCGGTGTTCATCATCCTTTCCTTCTCCCAGATCTACAAGGTAAAAGGCTCTCCTCTCCTGTCTCTTCCTTTACTGCCGCCTCATGCCCCAATTTCCCTCTTTTTCTAATAATATTTAACAGAAGAAATTACATAATGCAAGTGATTCTTGTTCATAGAAACTCAAATTGTGTTTATGAAACACAACTACTCTATTTACAAACCTATTTGTAAATTGTCTATATTGTGTAGTTCTTTGCATCTTCCTGGTAATTACATCTTACCAATTATCTCATTAATGTGGCCTTTAATCCACATTTTATTAATGTATTTTTATGAGGGTCACCATTTCACCTTTTCAAAAATCATCCTTTAACAAAACACTGAAGTTAACTTATGTACCCAGGAAAGTCCAGCAAGGAACACTCGGGGCTGAGGAAAGACTGGCTTACCCTCAGGAACTCCTTGGGAGAACCTCCAGTGAGAGTTCAAAGCTAGGAAGGATGGATCTGTTCTTTCCAGGGCTTATAAGGTAGGAATCATGTTATATATTCTGCTTCACTTTTCACCCTGGCTTTCAGGAAACTAAGCACCAAATCTGAATCTCCACGGTGGCCAAGTTCAGTTCAGCCTTCATGATAGACTCTGTCATGCTTGTCTGTGGTTTCAATTTTCCATTTCTCTTATTTTGGTATAAATAGGCAAGCTACCCTAGATTCTTTGTGAAGTAAGCATAGAATCCATATAATTGCATAGTATTTTGTTAACTCCTTAGTAAACCCAGTTACTTCAATGATTATGTGTATTGAGTTATTTTCAAAACATTTTTGTATTTTTTAATAGACCCAATTCAGGGATCCTGGTTAAGTGTGATTATATCTGAAATGCTGAACTAGACCAGCACCTAACTTTATTGACCCAGAAAAGGATCTCTCCCCAATTCCATGCCCCTCAATTCTACCTACTGAGAAGAGGCGAGCGATGGAGATTTAAGAAGAGAGAGGCAGAGTGCTGATATTTACCTACGTGCTGTACGTACTCACGTAACTCATAAATTGTTAGTGTAAATATGTGGGGAACAGAAGGTAGGTACTATAACCACTTCTTAAAATTGTGATACAAAATGTAACACTTACCTTGTTAATCTTTCTTAAGTGTAGAGTTCAGTGGTATTAAGTATATTCACATAGGTGTGGAAAAGATCTCCAGAACTTTTTCACCTTACTAATCTGAAACTCTGTACCCACTGAACAACTCTCCATTCCCCCTCCCCACGGCCCCTGGTAAGCACCATTCTGCTTTCTGTTTCTCTCGACTTGACTTGACCTTAGACACTCCATTTTAGTGGAATCACACAGTATTTGTCTTTTTGTGACTAGCGTTTACTACTTAGCATGACATCCTCAGGGATCATCTATGTTGTGGCATGTGCCAGAATTTCCTTTTTTTAAAGGTAAATAACAGTCCACTGTATGTACAGATTACATCTACTTTATCCATCCATCGGCAGATGAACACGTGGGTGTCTTCCCTCTCTCGGCTATTGTGAATCAGGCGGCCATGAACATTGGCATGCAAATCTATTCAAGCCCAACTTTCAAATCTTCTGGATATAAATCCAGAAGTGGAACTGCTGGATCCCATGGTGACTCTATTTTCAGTTTGTTCATGAACTATAGCCATTTTTTTTTACAGTGAGAAGCTCAGGCAAGTCACCGAACCCCAACATTACAGACTGGAGAAGTCACCAGTCCTTCCCCCAAGCACAGCCCGGCTTCCATCACACTCATCAGCGCCCTCTACCTCAGGGCAAGCAAAGTTCGCCCTGGATTCACCAACCATACACAGCAACAGTAAATAGAAATAACACTCGGCAGTAAAACGTGGAGTAGTTTAGAACGAACATCTTACCCAGTATGCTGAAATTCATCACTGCTTCCTTCAAAAGTCTTACTGAGTCCCACAGATCACTCTTGGGGAAAAAAAATAAGTGAAATTCATGAGCACTAAACACACACTTGGATATCAACATTCTCTAAGCACTGAGGTCTAAACAGGAATCAAACATGATTACCTCAGGATTGTTTATATAAAAAGTTACACTCTGACTCCCGAGGTTGAAATCAATCCAAAATTTCTCTAATTTTTCATCTGCAGGTTTTCGCATCTGTAAGATATAACTTCAGTGTTAATACATGAAAGGTTCAAATGAAAATTCCACTAAAAACAGAACTTCTTTCCCTAGAACCACCCTACTTTAAGATTACAGGGTCTCCTATTGTCTCTCACTTCTGCAAAACAGGAAGAAGGTTTCCATTGTAATAGCGCACCTATTTCTGGAAAAACTCTATATACTTATAAAAACTCATATAAACTTATAAAAACTCTATACTTAGCAATAGATGTTTAAATGTGTCAGATAACTATCCACACTGTTTTTTTCTAGTGCAAATCACAGAGGGAACAGTTCTTTGTGAAAGCAGTAACAATCCACATGGCATATGGATAGAAACTTCTAGCAAGGAGGTACTGTGATCAAATAAAAATGTTGATTGGCTGTCTAACTTGCCACATGTTAGAAGAAGGCTAAGACCTGAAGATTTCCCATTATCCTCATTTTCATTGATTACAGTCCGTCCTCCATATTCATGGGTTCATTCAAACAAATGTGGACTGATTCAGAAAGTTCTAAAAAGCAAACCTTGATTTTTGCCACATGCTGGCAATTATTTACATAACATACTGTATTAATATTTACAACTATTTGCATAGCATTTGCATGGTAAGTAATCTAGAGGTGATTTAAAGTATGTGGGAGAGTGTGTGTTCATTATATGCAAATACTAAGCTATTTTAGATAAGGGACTTGGGTATCCGCAGATTTTGGCATCCACAAGGGGTCCTGGGCCTGGCCCCCGGTAGGTACCAAGAAATGACTGTATTACAAAATAAATATATGCTCTTAAAGAAAGGAGGAAGAAAGAAAGAAAGATAGATTAAAACAGTATGGTGCTTATAGAAAGAATAAATGTCTCCTTCTTTGTCCCCCAACTTCACAGAGGTCCCTTTTCATGGGAACCATTAACAATGCCTTTGTTTCTTCCCAGATACGTCAGACACACTCGACAGGCATATATAAAGTTTCTATTCCTCAGCAAGTGGGACAAACACTAGACTTACTCTTCTCCCACTTGCTTCTCCAATAAACAGTATTTCTTGGTCACCATTCCATCATGCATGTTCCCTTTTTATTAATAACAGCTACAGAGTTGAGCAAAGGTGTTAACACATGTCTGTGTCATGGAAAGCCAGTGTAGAGACCCCTACTGAAGCTGATGGAAATTTAGAAGTCCTAGAAAGAAGCAAGCAAGCAGGGATTGGAGTCCTCAGACAACCCGAGTGAAAAACAGATAGACCTGAGACGCAGGAATCAAGCTATCAAAATCAGTTTGAGAGAGAAAGAATATATCATGTAGTCATGCTCTAACAGTTCAGCTCACAGAGGCCAAGAAGCCAGCGCTAGACCCAAAACAAAGAAAGAGTTAACGAGGACATTCAAGAGACGTGATCCAGGAAACCGCAGCCCAGTCCAGGTTCAGAGACCTTTGAAAATTTTACCCGAAAAAAACCTGAGATGGTACAGGTTGGCGCACTTTTACAGGAAGGATCTTGTTCCTCTAGAAGCCAAAGAAGAGGGTGAAAAGAGACTACACAATTTTGGACTATGAAGAACAAGGGAGAATGAGCTAGAGAAAGGAGAGTGACCCCAGTTGCTCGGGACAGAGTGGGAGGCACCTCCTGGAAGGAAAGAAGCGAGGGACCTGCCCTTTCCCTCCAAGCCAGGAGTGAGCAATGCTGCCCATCAGCGGGATAGAGTAATGCAAGGTTCCGGTAACTGACCTCATGAACAAGGTATGCAAACTCAAAAATTCATTGATCAAGTAGTAACAGTAGAGATCTTACATAGTAAGCTTCAGAGTTGAGCCCTCTAGGAAGAAAGATTCCTTTAAAAAAAAACAAAAACACCCTTCTATGTAGCAAAAGCAGTTTGGCCTGATGTACATCTACCTATGGATCTCAGTATATAGCACCCAACTTCACAGCCCCAAAGACATACCTCATGCTCACCAGCAAAAGCAGCAATGCATGGAAATGAATAGACCCTGTAAAACATCTCACAATTAAAAAGTAAAATAAAATATGGATGGACCCCCCACACAAGCTACAGACATTCTATACACAAGTATGGATAACTAGGTGTGCTGTTAACTCCCTTGGTACAAAGTAAGGAAGAGGCTCTCAAAGCTGCAAATGGAGATCTGTTTCCATGGACAGAATTCAAATCCCACCCAGCAGGTTACAAGCCAAGTTTTCAGTCCTGTATACAGCACAACCCAGCTGCCTGGCAAGAGTCCTAATGAAAGGAGTGAATTTAGCCAACATTTTCTCAAAGACTTAACTGTCCATAATATGTCTTTCCCTAGTTATCCTCAGACCTACAGGAAATCATTCTTCATAAAATCTCTCTGGAGGATATAATGTTACAACTGCTCTAAATCACAAATAAATACATTACAGACTGAATGAAACCATTTTACACACACACTAATGAATCGCTAGGCACAATGAGGCTTCGCTTCTGAGCGTTCTACGCAGTGGATAACCCAGTGATGCCCAGTAAATTCTGTATTCTATATTCTCCCCTAAAATAAAACAGACTCTAGATGTCCTAAAAATAATCAGACATTCAGTGATTTCTCTGGTAGTACGGGGATAAGAATTTGCCTGCCAATGCAGGAGACACAGGTTCGATCCCTAGCCCGGGGAAGATCCTACATGCCTCGGAACAGCTACGCCCGTGAGCCACAACTACTGAAACCCACGCACCCCACAGCCTGCGCTCTGCAACAAGAGACATCACCCCAAGAGAAATCCGTGCTTCACCATGGAGAGAAGCCCCCGCCTGCCGCAACTATAGAGAAAGCCCGCGTGCAGAGACAAAGACCCAGCACAACCAAAAACCAAATAAATGTTTAAAAAGACACTCGGAATAGAACTAGTCAATAAAGTAAAGCTCAGCGAAAACATCTTACCTTCTTTGGTCACCAAGTCTGTCATTTAGGTGATTGACAAACCGTCTACAATCCTTCAAAGTAAATAATGCAAACTTTTTGTTAAACAAACCAAGATATTCAATTTAAATACTACCCTTTGCAGCATAACAGAGACCAGTGTTTGCATCTACATTTTCAGGATCCAGTGACATCAAGACTCCATAAGGACTTATCATTAACCATGATAACTGTAACAACGCTTTGTGTCAGAAAGAGGAGGCTCCAGGCTCAAGTTCTGAACCCCCAGCTGAGGAATATACTTTATGTGCAATTACGTTTCCCTGGGTTAAAAGAGTGAACAAGTGGAATACCTCTTACTGATGACCTAGACTGTAATATTTGACTAACCCTTGGGCATCCATCTTCCCAGTGCAAGCCAACCACAAACCCATAAAACTTATCAACTGGGGGTTTATCCTGGTGGATTTATCCACTGCCAATTTTCCTTATCAGCAGTTCTCTCTCCTGCTCCTTCCTGGAATCTCTCTCCTGCTATAGGTTCTAAGAATAAAGAATACGTCTAGAGTTCTCCTGATAAAAAACCATTAGGGAAGCACACTTGTTACCCACCAAATTCTACAACTAGAGAAGTACTGATCCAGGTTTTTTCCCCTCTTGTTGGCAGGGGATGTCTGTTGTGGTAAACAGTTCTCATGCTCCATGTCCACAGTCAGCACTAAAGGGACACGGATGTGAGCCTTCCTCTAAAAGCAGTTCCACTAAGAAACTGATGGCTCTGATGGAAAATGATTTGAGAAACAAGGTAATTACTTTTGTTTTGCAAAATTGAAAGTGAAAAAGTGAAAGTGAAGTTGCTCAGTCATGTCCGACCTTTTGTGACCCCATGGATTATACAGGGCATGGAATTTTCCAGGCCAGAATACTAGAGTGGGTAACCTATTCATTCTCCCGTAGTAGATCTTCCTGACCCAGGAATCGAACCGGGGTCTCCTGCATTGCAAGCAGATTCTTTACCAACTGAACTACCAGGGAAGCAGGTTGCATGAAAGGCACCAAAAATTATTGGTTTTCCTTGTGGCTCAGCTGGTAAAGAATCCACCTGCAATGTGGGAGACCTGGGTTCGAACTATGGGTTGGGAAGATGCCCTGGAGAAGGGAAAGGCTACCCACTCCAGTATCCTGGCCTGGAGAATTCCATGGACTGTATAGACCATGGAGTCACAAAGAGTCAGACACGACTGAGCAGCTTTCACTTCACTTCAAACTGCGGAGGCTGGAGAGCTCACGTCATAACCACCCCATAATACCCCTCTGCCACCAGAGCCCCCAGGCCAGCCTCAGCCTGCATCATCACCCCAGCTGCTCTCTGCAAGGCACACTCTTTTCTTCTCCGACTCTCCCTACCCTTCCAGGTTTGGTGAAAGTCACTTCCCGCTCCATGACGTGGTCTCTGACTGGATCCATCAAATTCACACAGTTCTGTCTCCAGGCTGGGTTTCCTACAAAAATGTCCTAATTCTAGGCTGGTATTTGGCCCACACATACTCTCTTTTTATTGCCCTCAAGTTATTTTCACAAAAGTGGGAAACAGGAAGCTTCAAAATGGCAAGATAATCACACTCAAGGAAAAAAACCCTCCCCTAAGCCCAACATACACGAAGGCTCTGAGAAGATGCTTCATGAGTATTGATTACATGGAATTTTCATGATCATGGATCTCACCGTCTCAAATTCTCGGTCGTTAATTTCTTTGAAAGCCTTAGCAATGGTGTCATCTTCAAACCACTGAGGGACAAAGTCCTCCCTGGATTTTCTCATCGTCAGTCTACACAACGCTTCACAGAGAGCCACCTGCTGGTCATAATCTAGAGATTAAAAACATGGCAGACAGGGATAATTCTGGGCACGAAGCAAAGAAGAAACGAGTTCCACAGATCAGCATTTGCTCTAAGAAGTTCCAGCTCAGAAGACTAGCCTGTGGCTTCTAGTTTTAAGTAGCAAGCTATATCCTGGAGCACTTGTAATCATTTAAAGTGTGAAAGTGTGAGTCGCTCAGTCGTGTCTGACCCTTTGTGACCCCATGGACTGCGGCCCGCCAGGCTCCTCTGTCTGTGCGATTCTCCACGCAAGAATACAAGAGTGGGTTGCCATTCCCTTCTCTGGAGGATCTTCCCGACCTAGGGTTCAAACCCAGGTCTCCTGCACTGCGGGCAGATTCTTTACAATCTGAGCCACCAGGGAAGTCCCAATAATCATTTACATTCATCTATAAGAAATATTAGGAGAAAAAATCCAAACAACAGGTCAACATGCAACAATTTCTAAAAAAATTAAATGTTACTTCTGCATTCTATATTTCAGATATGTTAAAACATTCAAAACCAACTATGTCTAAGACTTGCAGACACAGAGAATAAATTAACAGTTACCACTGGGAAGAGGGAAGGGGAGAGGGGCAAGATAGGAGTGAGGAAGTAAGAGATACAAAGTATTGAGTATAAAATTAGCTATAAGGATACACTGCCCAGCATGGGGAATACAGAAAGAATTTTACAGTAACTATAAACTGAGTATTACCTTTAAAAATTGTGAATTACTATATTGTATACCTGTAACTTATATTATACATCAACTAGACCTCAATTTTAAAAAAAAAAAGGAGATTTTTTTTTCCCAGCCTTAAGAAATATTTCTACTATAACAAAATTTCAACATAAACTGGTTTTTCAGAGCAGATAAACAAAACTACATATCCCAACATGCTTAGATTTTAAACAATTTTAAAGATAAAAATCAAATGGCAACTGGATATGCAAACTTAAATTTGCAAAATAACAGTGTATGTTGCTTGTGAATGTATGTATTAAAGTCTAAACATATTCTTGAAAATGGAAAACAAGCCCAAGTCAAGGATTATCTCTACAGATAAAGAGGGGAATGGGATGGGAATTTGGACACAGGGCTTTACCTGTAACTTTGATTTACTTAAAAAAGAATTTAAAGCAAATGTGGAAAAATGATCAAATTTGACTCATCTCATTGGAGAGTAAAGGAATATTCATTAACTATTCATTTCAGCATGCTTAATGCTTCAATCATAAATTAAAAATAAAATTCTACTTCCTATTTTCAATTTGACCATACTTCATTCCCCATAGTTCCCAGATGCTCATTAAACCCCCCATGTCCAGTATTTAATATTCTCATATTTAAAATTCTAAATGCTTCTTACCACCCACAGTCAAGATTGTCCTTGCAAGGTCTTTCCTGAAATATTTAGATAAATTTCATTTTACTGGGATGAACATAAATAAGTAAAACTTTACTACATTGGCATTAAAATTTTAAACTGAGATGTATATTTTTTTAAGTATTTCAAACTCATTATCAGAATGTCCTCCATGTCAAGAACACATTTTTATGGGAAAAGTCTCAAATGTATATATTGACTTAAATATACTTTTTAAAGAGAAACCAGAACTACTACACATTCTGAGATTCTAGTTCTTCTGTAAAGTGAGTTTGATCATCTCTGAAGATTCAGCAAATGCTAAGATTCTGGAATTCTATAATCACCTCACCAGCCTGTGAAGATGTATATTCTTTACTACTATTGTCACATAGCTCGACCCTGGAAGAAATGATACAGTAGGTGCTGTGGGTCTTTCCTATCACTGTTTGGAATCAAATTTTAAAACTGAAGTTACAGATGTAATGGGGTTAAGTTATCACATTACGATAACCACCAGAGATTCCCAAACTTCATGTTCATTTAAGAATTTCAATTAAATGCTAACAAGTGTGGGGCTGGTCTTTTTTAATGTCATAACTCCACAGTTGAAGAATGGATTTCAGAAATCTTGTAATAGTTCTGTTTCTCATAATAAATGGATGGATTTGTTACAATTTAGTAAAAGTTTTAGAATGGTCTTATCGAGAGTTCTACTTAATTTTATGTTTGCAGGTTTTACATTTGACTAGAAGTGCAAAACATTCCAGGTGAGAAGACTCAAATGTTAAGACAGGACCATTGCATTAGTCTGAAAACTGAGCAGAATCCATCAGGTCAACTTCTGTCCAGATCTAGGTGCATGACTAAGGGTAATAATTAAACTACTGTATTCAAAGAAACGTAGCAGGAAAATTTCAGAGGAAACACTGCATCCTGCAGAGTTAAACGGACAAACACGCTGAGCTCCACAGTCACCGACCACCTCTTTCAGGTCTGTGCTGGGCTTAGTCACTCAGTCATGTCCGACCCTTTGTGACCCCATGGACTGTGGCCTGCCAGGCTCCTCTGTCCTTGGGGATTCTCCAGGCAAGAATACTGGAATGGGTTTCCATGTCCTCCTCCAGGGGATCTTCCTGACTCAGGGATCGAACCTATGCCTCCTGCATTGCAGGCAGATTCTTTACCATCTGAGCCACCGGGGAGGCCCACACTGTAATAAACTGGATTCCCTCCTCTTGCAGGCACGGCTGCGTGTCACTTGAACAAAGGAGGGCCGTGATGTCTCTGATGCTGACTGGTGCTCAGCACACAGTCACAGGTTCAGGCTCAAATCTCAAAACAATTCAGTGCTGCTTCCCATGGTCAACACAACCACCTTACCTCCAAATTTCAATGTCCCAGGAACCATGTAACTATGAGTGGGTCACCAAAACCCCCCAAATCCATCCCGTGGAAAGCAATACATGCCGTCCTGGGACAGCTAACGGCTGGTAACCTGTGAGTGTCTGCTCCCTAATGGATTGCCTGATTCAACCTGCACTCTATCGATCAGGTATTAATGTTGATTCTGTTTTACAGGTGAGCAGACTGAGGCGTCGTGAGTTAAGACTGCTCTAGAGGAACAACAAGCATAAGTGGCAAAACCAGGATTGGAAGGCTGAAGCCTGCCACCAGGTCTGTATTCTTAACATTCTCCCACGAGTCACTAATTCAGTTCACATTCACACAGTGAAAAATAATCTAAAGCCTGAGAAAAGTATTTCACCTCACAAATGTGATAGAACCAAAAAAAAAAAAAAAAAACCAAACAAAAAACCCACCACCACTGCAAACACCTAAAAAGAACAAAGATTGTCTGTGTGCTAGTTGCCCAGTTGTGTCTGGTTCTTTGTGACCCCATGGACTGTAGCTCATCAGGCTCCGCTGTCCATGGGATTCTCCAGACGAGAACCCTGGAGTGGGTTGCCATGCCCTTCCCCAGGGGATCTTCCTGACCCAGGGATCCAATCCAGGTCTCCTGCATCGCAGGCAGATTCTTTACCATCTGAGCCACCAAGAAAGCACAATAGATTGGGGCAGTACGCTCCAGAGAGATTCTGCCCTTGTATCACCACCAAATCAGGTCAAGGTCACGTACATAAGGCGGCAGGGGCCTTCCAACAAGAGGAGCCGCCTTCTCTCTTCCCGAGGGACAGCTTGCAGAATGCCGTTCAAGGTCCTCAGTGCCTGTTGGGAGTCGGGAAAGGTTTTCAGAGGAAGAAACGAGAGAGGGGACTAGGCACAACCTCCTCCACGGGGCCCAGGGCAACGGCTGTCAGCAACTCACCTCCCGTTGGATCAAAGGATTTACAGCTTCTTCTGTCACTAGAAATCCCAAGGTCAATATGAAGGAATTCAACATCTGAATTTTCCCTGAAAGCAGAATTTTCCAAGAATCACACTGATACTAAAAAAAAGGAAAGGAATAAGAAAATGTACACAGCAGGAGAGGCAAAGGCTGAAAAGCCATGGGCAGCAAATGTTTGTGAAATTATCTAGGCTGGATAAGGGACACATGACAGCCTACTGCAAGTTCCAGAAACCCCCAGGGCACAATAGATTTGCAGGGCGTTTGTTGTTGTTCAGTTGCTAAGTCCTGTCAGACTCTGCGTCCCATGAACTGCAGCACGCCAGGCTTCCTCGTCCTGCATGACCTAGACGTCCACGGAGAGGAACAGCAGCAGTGCATGCAGTCTGACTGTGATCATCGCATCTCAGACAAAGCTGCTTTGGTATCCAGAGTGAGCAACGCGCAAGGGCGGCCCCTGCAGTTTCCCATTGTTTCTATGCGTTTCCCACATTTGTGTATTTCGTAAAAGGAAAAATTTTATAAAGGTCTTAGGCGGCTTCCCTGGTGGCTCAGACGGTAAAGAATCTGCCTGCCATGCAGAAGACCCAGGTTCGATCCCTGGATCAGGAAGATCCCCTGGAGATGGGAATGGTGACCCACTCCAGGATTCTTGCCTGGAGAATCCCATGGACAGAGGAGCCGGGCAGACTATAATCCATAGGTCGCAAAGAGTCGGACACAACTGAGCGAGTAAGCACAGCGCAGCACATCCACTGTAGAATGTAGTGTGAATTTAGTAGCAGCTTTTCAAAATAAAAAAGATGGACAACAGAGAGAGGACATTACAATGGCCCCGATATCTATCCATCTTTGTTTTCTTTATTTTTAATTGGAGGATAATTGCTTTATAATGTTGTGTTGGTTTCTGCCATACAACATCGTGAATTAGCCGGAAGTATACATGGCCCCTCCCTCTTAACCTCCCCCACCCCACTCCACCCCTCTGCATCTTTGAATGCATGGTTTCATAATTCAAAATGTGGAATTACCTTTAACTTGAGCTAAGCTGAACAATATCACCCTAACATCCAAATTACCTACCTTTTGTGCTCTTTGAAAGACAGACAGAGGCATCAGAATTGATTTTAAGTTAAATCAGTAATAGGTAATTTTGCTGTCTGGATTATAAAAGTGGCTCTCCACCCCTGATCAGAACTGAATGGCCAAATGGTGGGAGAAGCAGCAAAATAAAGATGTTTACCAGAGGTAAATGAGGCACAATTTATAGCAAAATTCACTGCAGCACCACAATCTGACTACCATAAAATGGTCAGTTAACCCAAATGTAATAGTTAAACCCACATCACTTCTATGTATCATTTAGATAAACATTCTTCTCTATTCAAGAATATTCTACTAATGAGAGGTCAACGGCCAATTAGTAGTAAATAATACACTTACCTTTACTACTGCTTCTGGAAATAGTCTAATGAAAAGAAAAAGTAAAACTTCTATTATTTTTTAAAAGCATTAGCAACTATAACATTAATGCATTAATGCTGATAATTCTCTAACAGGCAGAAGTTAACTTTAACTACCGTAGAAAAAAAGTATAGAGAAATCCTATTTGGCCTTCAATCCACTTTATTAAAATCAGCCTATTACCTCCAATCAGGTGAATAATATATTTGAAAATAAATCACCTTATTTTTCTATAACATTGGTTACACATATTGTTTGTTACTATTTCATGCAACATTTCTAATAATAAAATATGAGTCATTTAGTAAAATCCACTTCTTGGAAAAACACAAGCTTTATAAACGACTTGAAGATTCCTGCAAATTACCAATGGTATCTGCTCAGGAAAGCACCCACCCCCATCCTTACCAAGGCTGTGTCAAAAAAATCTTCTGTCACATTCTTCAGAGATGTGTCTGAAGCTAGGTCTGCCATGGTCAGAAATCCCACTGTTCTTTCAAACCAGGAAACCATGTGCACAAGAAAAGAAATACTTATACAACCTCTAGGACTGAATTACTACTCCCCATTCAATAAAATTTCACAACTCTATCATTTTAAAGACCTCTTTCCATTCCCTGTCATTTCGATTAGGTCTAGTCCTGAAGTCTAGGCCACTCCAGAATGGACTCAGACCACTACAGGGTTGCAATAAGTTCTGATACCAGCAAGAACTGGAGACTGTGCCAGGATCATCCACACCAGAGAGCCTTATAAAGGGGCGAGTGAGTGGTCAAGAGAACGCAGGAGAAATTCCTCATTCCTGTAACCTGGGAGGTTACAGAAAACAAGCCATCCAAAGGACAGCAGATTCCAGGGAGCGCTCCAGAAGTGGGCCAGTGCAGGACACAGGCCTGGCCACCTTCCTGCCTTCCTTCTGCCAGAAGCTTCCAGCTAATTGGAGATCCCCACCCCTCGCCACCCCCACCCCATAGGAACATCTATCCCAGTTCATATTACGCTGCTAGAATTGGTGTGATTTAAAATTAACATATAAACCTCCTTGTGGCCATGTGTGCTCAGATGCTCAGTCGTCTCTGACTCTTTGCGACCCCACAGACTGCAGCACGCCGGGCTCCTCTGTCCATGATATTCTCCAGGTAAGAATACTGGAGTGGGTTGCCATTCCCTTCTCCAGATCTTCCCAACCCAGGGATCAAACCCGTGTCTCCTGCATGGGCAGGCAGATTCTTTACCACTGAGCCACCTGGGAAGCCCATAAACCTCTCTAGAACATATTTATTCAATAAAGCGAAGGCCATCTTTGGATGTTTTTTGCAGAGACTAGACACTCTTGTAAAAAAAAGAAAGAAAATCCTGGCATGCACAGTCAGAAATCATCAGTTGAATAAGATGTTGGTGACATGAGTTTGTGATGAGGAACTCTTACAGGAGTGGGGCCCTGGAAACTTTCTCCACTTTAGAGTCGAGGACCCGAGGTACCATCTGAAGGCCATGGATGAATCCATCAGCTCTCAATCTTGGCTGCACATTAGGAAATCCTGGGGAGCTTTAAAATGCCCTCATGAGTGAGACCACTGCAGACCCAGTAAATCAGAATCTCTGGCAATGGGACCCTCACATGACGTCTCAAAGCTCTCTAGGCGATTCTAAGGTACAGCAAGGTTTGGAAGCTCTATTAAGTTCCAGGTGATTTTCTTTTATCTCAAATCAGACAAATATTTGCATTTGATTGAATCATCTACCTCCTAAAGCAAACTTTTCTCCAACAATCCATGGAAGAAATGTCCCAGAGGTCAGTGGGGCAGGGGATAAATTGAGACTGCTTTATACACAACACTATTAATATATATATATAACAGATAAATAATAACTTGTTGTATAGTACAGGGAACTCTACTCAACACTCTAATGGCCTACATTGGGAAAGAAATTTTAACAAGTGGATATACATATAACTGATTCACTTGGCTATATACCTGAAACTAACATGACACTGTAAATGAGCTATTCTCTAATAAAAAAATTTTTTTAAAATGTTCCTCTATAAGCAGAACTCACTGCCAAGGCACTTTTTTCTCCCTCCCCATACTCATGTTCAAAATTCTATGCTTTTAAATACATTTCTGTCACTATTCCATTTATGCCCCCAAATCCTGTCCCCCTGCCCCAGCCCATCAAAATCCACCGAGTATAGATTTAGACAGGTGGGCAAAATGCCACATTATCTGAGCAAAACCTGGACTAGGAATTCACTCTGAAGGCATCTCTGTGCCAAGATTATACATGGTAACTGTTACACCAGTTGCCCCTACAGCTGTGTCATCCAGAAACCAGACAGACAATTATTGATGGATGCAATAACTGCTACTCGTGACGCATATGGCGAAGGAGAAGTCACTTAGTCCTCCTGAATCTTCAAGCACAGGGCCAAACTTGCTCCTCTCTGTAGGAAATTCTTCTTCTATGGCGAACCACCTCCTAGCACACTCTGTGTTGAGCCTGTGAGCCCAGTGGGCTTTCAAAGTATAAAATCTGGTACCCACCTCCACTCTGATAATATCAACCTAGTCTCCTGGGTCAATACCTACACAAATTAACACTACATGCTTTACAAGGTGTTTAAATTATGGCTGTGGCATTTCCATCACCAGCTAGAATTCCAACGGAATGTGGAAATTCCTATTTGGTTTCAAAACTCCAGTGGAGACCTGATCTGACACTTTTCAACTCTTGGGAAGGCATTCTGAAGTCTAAATACAGATTTCAGCTCAAAGCAGATCCCAATTCATCCCCTCAAATCAGCTTCAGCTTCCAAGGTACCTTGGGACACCCTGCTCCATTCCTTTGGAGTTTTGGCTCTTTGTCCCCACTTCAAATCACCTGCATAAGTAAGTATATCAGGGAGTTGTTGCTTAGTCACTCAGTTATGTCCAACTCTTTTCAACCCCATGGACTGTAGGCCTCCAGGAATTTTAAAGTGAAAAAGGACAGACACATCTCTTTGGCCCAACCCGATCTCGATAAACTTCAGGTACGAGTGGGTAAATAGAGATTTCATTGCCAGCTCGGTCACCCATCTATCCCCTACCTACCCTCATGTTCTCATCAATAATCAGTGTCAGGGCTGCAAATCTTAATCATGAAAAAAAAAGTACAGCAAGAGACTGTGAAAACTCTGCTTTGCTTCCAGATGCCATTATCAAAGGCACACACAATGTTACCTTCTGATTAAAAAACAGAACTGTGTGATTTGGATGACCTAGAATAAGCAAAAGATACTTTGGCCATGTGTTTTTTTCAGATTCAACTAGGCTTTTAGGAAGTTGGAGAAGTGGACTGTGACAAAGGATAAACTGATCATTTATCTAGGTCCTATCTTGTTATTGGAAAAGACCTTGATGCTGGAAAGACTGAGGACAGGAGGAGAAAAGGATTGACAGAAGATGGTGGTCAGGTAGCATCACTGACTCGATGGACATGGATCTGAGCAAAAACTCTGGGAGCTGGTGAAGGACAGGGAAGCGTGGAGTGCTGCAGTCCATGGGGTTGCAAAGAGTCAGATGTGACTGAGTCAGTGAACAACAATAATCTTGTTAATAAAGTCTATTGAAATAGTTATAAACCTTTTGGGGGAGGGGTGTAATAATCCATTATCTTCATTCTATATTTAAGCTAAATCCACTGAAATAATAAAATCATACCATCACTGCATTGACTTGTCAAGGGGAGGGGGGGCTGTGTCTGACTTATTCCTGTCCATTCCCCAAGTGTCCTGTCTACCCCATACATCAGGAAATACATGGAACTTAAGTTTTGATTGGATACAGGCAATAAGCCCTGGCATCAATTCCTTTTCAAATCTGACTTCAAAGGAACATAAAATACCAAACTGGGCAACTGAATCTTCTCTTGTTCTTTAAATTACCCAAACCCGCACAAAATTAAAAGATGACACTTATCTTTGGGATCAGACCCTGCTTAATCAGTAAAGGCTCATCTTCTTTGAGGCCATCAATGAAGAATCGCTGGATACATTTCAGCAACAGAGAAACATGCTGGAATTCATTTTTATCCAGTTCCTTGGGATGAGACCACACCAAGTTAAAAACCTTACACAGTTACATGTCGGTATTCTGATTACAAAACAAATGAAACTCACTTGCCTTATTTATTGATCTGTCAAGATGGCGTAATAAAAGACTGTTATATTTTTGAGGAACATGGCGCTGTCCCTGAAAATATTCTTTGATTTTCTGAAATCCTTCATCATGGAATGCATTAGTAATAAGCGATTGAAGCTGGAATGTTGACAGTTTGAAAATTACTCTTTTCCCCCCGAGGATATTTATCTCATAGTGATATTTCTAACAATTGTTATCAGGAATAATTCAGTGCAGAAAAATTCAGTGCCGAAAAAGAGGGTAAGAATAGAGAGTTATGTCTTGAATAATAACCACGCAGGCAATGATTTTGGGGGCTTAAGAGAGTAGTTTGCAAAACCACCACCAGCACAGCACGGACATCACCAGGGGACCTGTTAGGAGTCAGAAACTCTGGGAGCAGGGCCTTTCAGGTGATCCTCATCATGCTAAAGTCTGAGAACCGCTGACTTACGGAAAACCACACCTGAATTACAGGTATCCGTGGATAAAGAGACTTTATCCTCAGTGATGTTAGAAACTCTATAACACTACAAAATTCAAGCCTATTATTACTCATTAAGTTACATAAATGATTTTAACAGGAGAAAACAAATTCAACACAAATATTTACAATTAAGGGAACTAATAAACACAAATTGCTATGAGGAATGAAACTGAACTTTTCTGCCTGAAAGTTAGTCAAGACCTATCTCTATATGTGTGTCTCTGTATGTGTGCTTGAACAACATGTATTCTTAAATATCTGTACTATAAAAGATATGTTTCTTCTTTATCAAGAAAACCCAGTCCAACCCTACAGGCTAACTTACAGTATTTTAACGAGTCATTTTATTATATCCAACCTGATATTCCATATATTCCTAGTTTGATTTAAGTGAGGAGAGAGCATTTGAAATTAAACATCTAAACAGAATTTAAGTTGTGTTATGCTGCTTCAGTCATGTCCGACTCTTTGCAACCCTGGGGACTGTAGCCCACCAGGCTCCTCTGTCCACCGGATTCTCTAGGCAAGAATACTGGAGTGGGTTGCCATGCCTTCCTCCAGGGGATCTTCCCAACCGAGGGGTCGAACCCATGCCTCTTGGGTCTCCTGCATTGGCAGGCAGGTTCTTTACCACTGCGCCACCTGGGAAGCCCCTATCTAAAGTCAGTCAAGTGCAATTATTCTCCATCACAACACCTGTTCCATTTTCTTCCTACCATCTTACTTTTGTTCTTAATCTGTCTCTTTGGCTCTCTGCCAGGCTGGAAGTTCTAGAAGAGCCAGCATTGTGTCCATTTAGTTCGATACTGTCTACCTCCACCTAAAATAGTGCAACGGAATAGCCTACGTTAGGATATTAGTAGTTTAATAAAGACATGGTGATAAATTGATGCAGATTAGAAAAGTAGAAGAGGATTTCTCAGGTTTGAATAACTGGAGGAAGAAATCACGCGGGTAGTCCAGGAAACAGAACAAGACAGCACACACAGAGAACACAAACTTGATCTTTACAGAGAAAGCATCCTGGGGCATTCCACTCTCATCCTTTTCCTGAATGGACTGCAAAGGACCTTCATTCTCCTGTGTACAAAAAAAATTTTTTTAATTTATTTCAAAGAAATGCACTAAGTTTTAAAAAGAAATAAGGTTTATATTATTTTCCTGAACAAAACTTTCTTCATTCATGCCACTGACTATAGGTCTAAGAAAACTACGACTTAGAAGACCCAAAGCTTTATCCAACCTTAACACTTATGACAAATACAAACTATCACAAGGAACAAAGCAAATATCACTGTAATAAATGACCACATAAAATAAAGTTAAACTCTATAGCAGCAACTATAGTGGGGAAAAAAAAAGGCTTTGAAATAATGAACCATTTTCAGAATGAGAGCTTATAAGATAAAGTTTTCTAAAGTGAGTTTCAAGCCCAGTCATGAGCTTAAGCTTTATATTTCTGACTTTCGTGAATTTTATTTTATTTTATTTTTACTTTCATGAATTTTAAATGTGGTGGCTCAGACTGTAAAAGCATCTACCTACAATGCAGGAGACCCAGGTTCCTTCCCTGGGTTGGGAAGATCCCCTGGAGAAGGAAATGGCAACCCACTCCAGTATTCTTGCCTGGAAAATCCCATGGACCAAAGAGCCTGGTGGGCTACAGTCCATGGGGTCGAAAAGAGTCGGACACGACTGAGCGACTTCACTAGGACTTAAAACTGAAACTTCAAGGAACAAAACAGCAACGACAATGTGGGTTGTTGCACATTTTCTTCAAGAAGTGATTCCTGGATTACCAACCTAGTTTTCACAAACATGCTAAACAATGGCATCTCACCTGCTCCCAACAATTAAAAAAAAAACTTTTAAAAAAATGTAATCTCTCTCCCAAAGAGGCTGTTAAAAAAAAAAAAATCTAGCTTGGGCTAACAGTCCTTTGTGTACTGGATAAAATCCTTAAATGTCAGCATATTTTACAATAATATTATTTTTAAATAGAAAAAAAAAGGTGAATTTAAAGACTCAAATCCAGGCTTGTTTTTTCTGCCAACAGTGTATTCAAGAAAAGGAATGAGGGAAAGTACCAATCCACCTTGCCCCCTCCAAACCCTGGGCGGCGGGGCTAACAGAAGCCCCAGAATCTTGGGGCCATAGATCTGGGGACCTGGGTGGGTTAGCGTCTTTGCACTTTCTACGCAACCAGAGAGAAAACGGGCTGGGAAAACATCCCGAGCAACTCGAAAAGAACCACTTCATTACCTTCAAACATTAATTCTCCAATTCCCCCTTCCCTAAACGCTTTACTAGCGAGGAACCAGAAGTTTCTATTCTACCTTACGGTCTGCCTGAAAGGGACCAATAAACTCCCAGCAAACCTAAGAACTGTGAGGCGCCCCAGCCCCGGTCCAGGGGCACGCCGGGCTTCCCAGGTGGCGCAGTGGTAAAGAATCCGCCTGCCAATGCCGGAGACACGGGTTCGATCCTTGGGTCAGGAAAATCCCCCGGAGAAGGAACTGGTAACCCACCCCATATTCTTGCCTGGAGAATCCAATGGACCGAGGAGCCTGGCAGGGCTACAGTTGCAGAGACGGTCACGACTAAGCAACCCGAGCATCCTGGGCGAGCACGCCAGGCTCGGAGCCCAGAGCCCGACGGACGTGCCCCCCCGCGTCCCCCTAGAACGGTGGAGAGGGGGCCGGGGTTCTACGGGGCTCAGGTCCCCCCAAGATCACTCACCTCCCCCATCCCGAGGCTCAGGCAGGACGCCACGTACCCGAACCAGGGCGCACGCCCAGAGCCGGACGCGAAGCGTCGCGCTCGGCCTCCCGGGTTCTGCCGGCGAGGGCTGGGTAGCACACGGCTCCCGGATGCCAAGCTCCGCCCCAAACTCTAATTAATCATCTCGCCCCTGAAAACCTAGGAGAGTCCCGACATTAACAAGCGTGTTTGAGAAACGCTGGCCTGTTTACTAGGAATCAAGGTAAGGCCACCTGGGCGCACGCAAGCGCACCTTAAGAAAAAGCGATTTCTCGAGGGATGAAAACATGTCAATTAAGAGACTTTAAAAGCGAACTTCTAAACTGATAGGCGTTCCCTGTGCTGAAGCCGGCAGTTTTCGCCCCACCTTTAACAGATAGTAGAGCTGGTTTCGATCCATTGATATTAACAGACTGAAACCGAACTTTCCACATAGGAACCAGATTTGTACCCGAAACTGTAACTTTATTCCTGATATTACAAAAGAAAGGATTTTAAAATATACACACCTCGCTGTGCTCAGTCAAAATAAAATAAACATTTTCATCCAGTCTGCTTGTTTTCTGTCCACTTCCTTTAGCCCCACAAGAATGTGTACTAATGGCCAGGTTTAGGCTGATCGGTTGTCTGATATGGGAACGCTGTGACAAAAATAAGTTGGACTGGAATTTTCTTTAAAAAGGGAGGAAAAAGCAAGTAGACAAAAGGACCCCTCAAATCCAAACATTCCTTGTAAAAAATTAACTTGTATGATAATCGGGTGCTGTGGGTACTTGGGTGTCATGACGTTTACAGAAGGTATTTGTTTGCATCAGAGGTAAACTTAATGTAACCAGAATCCCTGCAAGTCAGCCCTGAGCTCTGCATTGTATCTCCAGTCCATTCAATACAGTACTTAGTCCATGGCTCATCATATCCATTCCAGGCAAATATGATGTAATTTACTTACTTTAATCTAAACCAAAATTTAGATTCCTTTGCTTTTGAATTAATAAACTTTAATGATTTCAAAATCAGCTGTGAATACACTGTTCTGAATCAATGTAAGTATTAATGCAGGAAAATTTAAAGGTTGATAACAATCAAATACAGTTTAAACACACTTTATTTTAGAGAATAAAATAGGTAATACAGTAAGAATATAATGTATGACATTTAAGTCTTCTTGATATTAGTTTTAATCAATTATTTTCAGACTGTGGGGAAAATATAACAGCCTTTCAAACTACATGGTTGTTAATGCATTCAAAAATTCAGGAGAAATTAAGGATAACATCACAGGCAACACCATTTATTTTTTTATGTTTTTACTTTGATTATCTTGTTTTACTAACATGTTTTACCCAGACATAATTTTAGGATAACTTGGAATATATATTCTAATTCTGCTCAAACTAAATACAGTAGAGACAAAGACTTTTCTTTGGATACCAGAATCTATTTAGGAAAAAAGCTACTTGATTAATTGACTTGGCTTTCATTTTTTTAATTGTTCTTTTTTATATTTTTGAAGGGTAAGGACTCTCTAGGAATATTCCAAAATTACAGAGAAAAGGAATAGTATAACAGTGGTTACAATAAGACCAGAAATTAGTTTCTACATATTTTCAGAAGTGATTTTAAGTTTGTTTTTGAAGCTATATTAAAAACATTTTGTTGTTATTGTTCAGTCGCTAAGTCATGTCTGACTCTTTAGGACCCCGTGGACTGCATTATGCCAGGCTTCCCTGTCCTCACCAACTCCCGGAGCTTGCTCAAATTCATGTTCTCTGAGTTGGTGATGCCATCCAGACATCTCATTCTCTGTGGACTCCTCTTCCTGCTTTTGATCTTTCCCAGTGTCAGGGTCTTTTCCAATGAGTTGGCTCTCTTCACATCAGATGACCCAAGTATTGGAGCTTCAGCTTCAGCATCAGTCCTTCCAATGAATATTCAGGACTGATTTCCCTGAGGAGTGACTGGCTTTATCGCCTTTAAAGTGTTTTTATCTTAAACTCGACAAAGAAATGTCGATTTGTAATAAATAAATAAATGAAACGAGAAGGGTCAGAAATTTTAACCGTGGAAAAAGAAAACAACCCAAAAAGCAACTGAATGATCGGAGATGCCAGGAGGCTCAGTGAGCGGTTGACACTGAAAGTCTGGGATGAAACTAGTGGGTGAACAGTGAACACGTGTCTCCGTTTCCTCCCAGACTTTCGCGGCAACTCTGTGAATGATTAATCAGAAATGCTAACCCACGAGAACATAGGAAACTTTAGGGGCAGGGTGACCACGGTTGGGAGCCTGGGGAATGAACTTGTCACTTTCTCGTACAAGAACTTTGCTCCTCTGCTTGGCGGGGTGGGGTGGGGGAGAGGAGAGTTGCGGGGAAGGTGGGAGCAGGGAATCCCAGCTTGAAACTAGAGAAAGAAGAAAATTCGTGCCATTACCCAAATCTGGCTTTTACCCTCTTGGGAATTCTCTGCCCCTGGGCCGTCAACGGCAGCGGCTCTGAGTCGAACTCCACTGTTGGTTTGACTTGCCCTCCACCAGGAAAGCTAAGAGGACTGGGAGCGTGGACGAGATTCACTTCCTGCGGTTGTAAGTGAGCATCGCTTTCCTCACTTTTCGCCAAAGGAAGAGGCTGTAATTCTGCCAGAGGCGCTGGACTGGGCGTTCTTCCCGCCGGGTGCCACGCTGCATCCGTGTGCGCGCTCGGCGATGCCAAACGCTAGGCGAACGGGGGTGAGGATTTGGCGGGATGCAGGTTCCAAGCGTCCTCCTCTAACAGGGAACGTCTTTAGAAGTAGGCTTCCGTTTGGCTGCCTAAAGAATCTGCCTGCTGTGCAGGAGACCCGGGTTCTATCCCTGGGTTGGGAAGATCCCCTGGAGAAGGAAATGGCTACCCACTCCAGTATCCTTGCCTGGAAAATCCCATGGACAGCGGAGGCTAGTGGGCTGCAGTCCATGGGGTCGCAAAGAGGCGGGCAGGACTGAGAAACTACTTCACTTCTGTCTGGCTATGCAGGTAGCTGCAGCGTGCCATCCCCAAGAACAAAGGCGTAGGGAATGAATTCTGGAAACCCACCCTCCCTCGCTGACCCGGGCGGCCAAAGAGCAACTTAAATTCCTTCCATTTGTTTCTTGTATTGGGCCCTTCCAATCCCTAAGGAAGTGGGTGCACAGCTAAAGAAGGCTTGGTCTCCGCCCTGGGAAGCCCACAGCGCCCTACCCGCTCATCTGCTTCCTCCAGTCTGCAGAGCCTCCGCAGCCGGAATAGGTGTAAATACGATTTTGTGGTGGTATTTCCACGACGATTTCCACGCGGTTAGGAAAAAAAAAAAAAACCCACTTTTTTAAAAGGGTCGTTTCAGGTGGATGGCGACTGAGAAATCCCCGAGCCTCAGATCCTTTTCCTAGCAGAAAGAAAACAGGCTCAGAAGTAGTCAAGGCGGCCGAGAAAATACAGATTTGGGGGCCGCAGAGTTCCCCCCTCCTTCACCTTCCCCCTTCCTACCTGATGTGAAGAACTGATTCATTAGAAAAGACCGAGAGGCCGGAGCAGAAGGGGACGGCAGAGGACGAGATGGCTGGATGGCATCACCGGCTCAGGGGACATGTTTGAGCAAGCTCCGGGAGGTGGTGGAGGACAGGGAGGCCTGGAGTGCTGCAGTCCATGGGGTCTCAGAGAGTCGGACACGACTGAGCGCCGGAACATCATCATCAGCCGGAACAAAATCGCCGAAAAGGACGCGCTCCAAAGCTAGTAGGCGTGCGCGCGTCTTCTCGGATAAGGGCGCGCGGCAGCCGAGGCTCTTCGAGGTGGTTCCCAAACTGCCTGGGAACTGAGTATTGCCTCTCGGGGACTTTGCTGGAAAGGTTCTGTCTCAGAAGCCTCTCTTTATATCCAATCTGAAACGGTTAGGGAAAAAACATGATTTTCAACTTAGACATTCCAACCTCCCCCCAACTCTGGCCCGTCTAGGCTTCAGTTTCCCGTCACCTCGAGGGCTCAGGTCCACCTCCCCTCCGTCGCTCGCCCTGCCTGGGAGTGGGGGACCGGCCCTGCAGGGCCCTGGAGGGTGGGAGCGGGCGGGGAGCGAGGAAAGGCGGAGCACCGCGCGCGGGGCCGCGGGGCGGGGGCACCTTTAATAAACGTGCGGGCAGCTGCCTGGCGCCCGCGCTGCGCTCCAGGTGGAGACTTTTCAGCACCGAGACCAAGAACAGGGCTCCACCCGAGCCGCCCTGAACCCTCGCCCGCCGCTTCTGCATTTCTAAATCGGCCTCTCTGTCTGTCTCTCTCTCCACTTACTTTTAAAACAGGGGGGAAACAACCGTGGGCAGCTCTAGGTTGGTCTGTTTTTCTTGTGTCTTTCAGGACCCTTGGCGCGGAGCACCCGCGAGGAGGAGCGGATGCCGGCGGCGGAGGCGCAGCTGGCGGACTGCGCGTGGTCCTACGGCATGAAGCTCAGCTGGGACATCAACGACCCGCAGATGCCGCAGGTGCGTGAAACCCGCTGCGAGCGCGGCTTTCCATCCAAAGAGGACGGGTGTCTTGGCAGAGACTGTGGACCGGCCGCCCTGCCACCCCCCACCCCCAAAGAAAAAGAAAACACATCCCTGAGAGCCCTCCAGTGTTCAGGGACTCCACCGATGGCAGAGCTGGGGTTAGAGATGTGTCTTCTCCTACCTGTTTCCTCGGGAACTGTCAATTAGGCTCCACGTTTCGGGTCGTCTGGCCGGCGGGAGCCTGACTTCTCGTCCCTCACTTTCTTTTAACCGAGGTAGAAATCCGCTGACTCATCCTTGTCCATTCTTCGACATCCACTAGAAAGGTGGAGGGGCATCTTGGTGAATGTAGATGCCACCTCTTCTCACGCAGCAGAACTGTGAGATAGGACCATAAATTGCAGCGACCGCATCTTAAAGAGCAGGACTTGGGCCATCTATCCTGGCTGCCAGGATGAAGCGTGGCTCTTGGGGGGCTTTGTAGTCATGGTAACCAGGTCACAGGCGCCCAGACAGCCTTTGGAATCCAGGTTTTGGACACAACTTCTGAGCTTACTTCTCTAGTGAGGAGAAAATCAAAGTCATCTGTTTAGGGTGAATTTGTTTTATTTTTTAACAGAAGGAAGGAATGGGCTGGGCAGTTATGCTTGGTCATAGTGGTTAGAAGCAAAGACTGGGGAGTGACTTTAAAGTCCTGTGTGTAGGTGTAAGGAGAATTAGGAGTGACCTGGGAGCTTTTGCAGAGGTGAACTTCTGGCAATGCCCTGGTACAAGGGGTGAGAGAGACTTGACCTTTATGCAGCATCTGTTATGTGCCGTTCAGGTTTTAGGTGGACAGCAGTTCATTAGCCATGTTGTGTAGCTTCTCAAAGAGAGAAGTACTCTGGGCTACACATTCGTGGAAACCTATTTGTTACTTTTAAAGCCTGCCTACGTTAGGGTCACACTGTGCCATTCACACTACAGTAAGGGCCTCTCCTTCTCACTGACTGTCCATGTAAATCCCCACGGGGCCGGGGAGGGGGTGGTTGGGAATCTGTTCTTGTGTTTTAGAGAAGAGCCATATCCAAATAAAGGAAGGATGGGTTCTCTCACAAGCGTTCTCTAAACTTCCCATGTAAATGTGAAGAACATATCCTCTGGGAGATTAGTTCTTAAACAGAGAGTGTGTGTGCCTTCTCTAAAGAGGTAGGTGCTCTGGGCTGGAGAAAGGGGATCCTGCTCCGGCTAACGCAAGGAGGAAGGGCTACCCTTGCGGTGTGACCTTGACACAGTTCCTGAATTTGCCTTAGTCTCGGGTCATTCACTTGTCATCAAGCAGTGGAATTAGATAACAATCTTAGACTCCCATCCTGTGCGTGTTTAGTGCACTATAGCGCAAAAACAGACCATACGTAGACAAATGTACTTGGCTGTGTTCTAATACAACTTTATTATGGATACCAAAATCTGAATTTCATATGATTTGCATGTGTCACAACATGTAATTGTTTTGATTTGTCCCCTCAACCATTAAAAAATGTCAAAATCATTCTTAGCTTGTGGGCGGTACTAAAACAAGAGAGAGGCTGAATTAGGCCCACGGTCCCCAGTTTGCAGACCCCTGCCGTAGAGAGTACCAGGTAAATAGTGCACAGGAAAGGGTAATTTTATATTAAACTTATAACAGGAGAGACATTGCAGTATAAATAATGCATAATATGGACAAGGACCACCAAACATGAATAGGAAAGTGATGTTCAGTATTTTAGATATCACGTTATTTTAGCCAGGCAGCTCTTTGTGTGGGAGAATGACAATCCATATTGCTCTGGAGAGAGGCCCAGGACTTAGCAGCCTCCACCAAGTGCTCGGGTTTACCTTATGGCCAGGCTGTCATCGTAACACCCTTGTAATCTTGGAAGGCTGGGCTTCCCAGGTGGCACTAGTGGTAAAGAACCTGCCTGCCAGTGCAGGAGACATTGGAGAGAGACATGGGTTCAATCCCTGGGTCGGGAAGATCCCCTGGCGGAGGGCATGGCCATCCGCTCCAGTATTCTTGCCTGGAGAAGCCCATGGACAGAGGAGACTGGCAGGCTACAGTCCATGGGGTTGCAAAGAGTTGGACACAACTGAGTGATTTAGCATGCATGCAGGCAAACCTGGAAGGCTACTCTGGGAAGCTGTTCCTGTCTCTCTCATGTTGTGCTGGGTTATCAAGCCAAGAGCTTTGGAAGAAAAACCACTGCATGGAAGAAAAGATACAGGCGCAAGTGTGTATCAGTGATAGAACTTTCTGACCACTTTCTGCCCTGTCACTTCAATGCTTACCTTAAAAATATTTGTAACATATAAATGCACCAAGAAGTGGTATAACCTGGTGGTGAGGAGGACAGGCTCTGGAGTCAGACTGTGTGGGCTCAAATCCTACAGCCAGATTTTACTAGCTGTGTGACCTTGGGCAAGTCGATGAACCTCTCTGGTCTCCATTTACTATTCAATTAAATAGGGATAATACTAGTGCCTATGGTCTGTGGGCATATGAAAGCTAGAACTAATACCTGTACCATTTTTGTGGGAAGCGCTATAGAAACATCAGTTTATAGCCAGTTGTCAGAAGGGTCCACACACAAGATAAGTGACATTTCTTAAGAGCACAGTTTCTGGGTTTTTCAGCATTTCTGGAATTAAAAAGACTCAGTTTTCATCCTGATATGCTTGGAGAAGATGAAAACCTTGCTGCATGGGGTTTGGGGTGGACAAACTTGATTGCTGTCCTTGGACGCCTTTGCAGAAGCCAGCTCACTTTGACCGCTTCTGCGAGTGGCCGGACGGCCACGTGCGCTTCATCTACAGCAGTGACGAGAAGAAGGCGCAGCGCCACCTGAGCGGCTGGGCCATGCGCAACACCAACAACCACAACGGCCACATCCTCAAGAAGTCCTGCCTGGGCGTGGTGGTGTGTGCGCAGGACTGCGCCCTGCCCGACGGCTCGCGGCTGCAGCTGCGGCCAGCCATCTGCGACAAGGCGCGGCTGAAGCAGCAGAGTGAGCCGTGGGGCCGGGTGGGGGTGGCCATTGCAGGCCTGAGTTCCCCTTCCCAGAGAGTGCGTTCCCCTTCCTTCCTTCCTTCCAGGGGGGCCAGGAGTTATTAACATTTTATTAATTAATATCTGTTAATATTAATACAATTAATATTAATTATTAATATTTCTGACCTCTGGCTTTGCAGAGAAGCCTTGTCCCAACTGTCACTCTGCTTTGGAATTGATCCCCTGTCGTGGGCACAGCGGTTACCCTGTGACCAACTTCTGGCGACTGGATGGCAACGCAATCTTTTTCCAGGTAGGTGAGGGAACCCCACAGTTTGTGGTGGATATTCTCATCGGCTCACAGGGACCAGGCCACCTGCCAGGTGTCTTAGACACTCTCGTTTCTGGCTTAGTCCCTAAGTCGTGTCCGATTCTTTGTGACCCAATGGACTGTAGCCTGCCAGCCTCCTCTGTCCCTGGAATTCTCCAGGCAAGAATACTGGAGTGGGTTGCCATTCCCTTCTCTAGGGGATCTTCCCGACCCAGGGATTGAACCCCTGTCACCAACGTTGGCAGGCGGTTCTTTACTGTCTAAGCCACCAGGGAAGCCCCTTAGAAACTCTGGACCAAGCCAAATACGGCTCAACTGGCCAGAAATAGGTGTTGTGGCTTCTAGCCTAGCCTTACTAGGCTCCTAGAAATTAGTTCACCTACTGTGTGCTCTCTAAGAGTGAACTTACAGTTTTTTCATATTTAAAAGGACTGTTAGGTCATCTTTGGGCTTCCCTGCTAGCTCAGTTGGTAAAGAATCCGGCTACATGGCGGAAGACCTGGGTTCGATCCCTGCATTGGGAAGATCCCCTGAAGAAGGGAAAAGCTACCCACTCCAGTATTCTGGCCTGGATAATTCCATGAACTGTATATAGTCCATGGGGTCCCAAAGAGTTGGACACGACTGAGTGACTTTCACTTTCAGGTCATCTTTTAAGATGTCTATTATTAGTGCAGTTTTATTTGCTTAAGAATTTTTTTTCCCTGTTTCTTTGAAAAAACAGCAACTTGGGGTGTTGGGAAAGGTATACTTAATTTTTGCCCAGCTTCGCCGCAGAGGAACACATGTGATTCATCCCCTTATTAATGCAGGCCAAGGGAGTTCATGATCACCCAAGACCAGAGAGTAAATCAGAGACGGAAGCTAGAAGAAGTGCTGTCAAGAGACAGATGGCTTCTTTTTACCAACCACAGAAAAAGAGAATTCGAGAACCTGAGGTAATGGGGAGCTGCCATTACACTTCTTGTGGTCTGTGTTTGTCATCATCACAAAATATACTGAGAATTGCATAAAATAGGAATGTCATACCTTAATTTAAAAGGTTTGATTTTATGTGAAAATTCGATATCTCTAACAAAATGTCATTGAACAAAATTTTTGAATAGGGCTTCTAATCCCTTCTTCTTCTTGAAAAAAAAAAAGCAGAATATCTCTACAATTAATGATAGAGTGAGGATGTGAGCTGACATTCTAATATAAGGTCAATTATCCAACGGTCATACAGAAAAACATAGGTGCACCCCCTTGAGTTAACAGTACAGCTTTGAGAGGGTCCTTGGCATCATTAACGTAAAACAGATAAAAGTTCTTTGTGCAACTTGAGCCAGTTTGGCTTGTCTACCAAAGTATGCCAAGCAGGCAGAATATTCGCCTGAAGATAAGAGACACTGGCCTTGTCTGAGCACTTTCTATGTGCCAGTA